CCGCCCCTGCTTGTGCTTGGTGACTCCGACCTTTTCTCGGCTTGTCGCCCTTGCCTCCTTGCTCGCGCTTGCCGACTCGGACCTTGCCACGGCTTCGCTCCACTTGTCTCGGCACTTGCTTGGTGACTCGGACACCTCCCTGGCGCGTGGGGCGTGCGCTTTCTCTTTGCCATGACGCAAATCTGCGTCTTGGTATTCCAGGCCATGAAAACTTTACAGCCTCCGGCTCAGTCCGCCGACATTGTCCTCTCCCTTTTCTCCTTCTTCCTGTCTCCCTTGTCTCCCTTGTGTGTTCTGTCGTCCTCTCTCCCTCTGCTCCCCAGCCTCCCCATCCCCCCAAGCCTCTCTCTCCCCAATCTCCCTCTCTCGTATGTATGTATGCATGTTTATATGTAATGTATGTATGTATGTATGTATGTATGTATGTATGTATGTATGTATGTATGTATGTATGTATGTATGTATGTATGTATGTATGTATGTATGTATGTATGTATGTATGTATGTATGTATGTATGTATGTATGTATGTATGTATGTATGTATGTATGTATGTATGTATGTATGTATGTATGTATGTATGTATGTATGTATGTATGTATGTATGTATGTATGTATGTATGTATGTATGTATGTATGTATGTATGTATGTATGTATGTATGTATGTATGTATGTATGTATGTATGTATGTATGTATGTATGTATGTATGTATGTATGTATGTATGTATGTATGTATGTATGTATGTATGTATGTATGTATGTATGTATGTATGTATGTATGTATGTATGTATGTATGTATGTATGTATGTATGTATGTATGTATGTATGTATGTATGTATGTATGTATGTATGTATGTATGTATGTATGTATGTATGTATGTATGTATGTATGTATGTATGTATGTATGTATGTATGTATGTATGTATGTATGTATGTATGTATGTATGTATGTATGTATGTATGTATGTATGTATGTATGTATGTATGTATGTATGTATGTATGTATGTATGTATGTATGTATGTATGTATGTATGTATGTATGTATGTATGTATGTATGTATGTATGTATGTATGTATGTATGTATGTATGTATGTATGTATGTATGTATGTATGTATGTATGTATGTATGTATGTATGTATGTATGTATGTATGTATGTATGTATGTATGTATGTATGTATGTATGTATGTAATGTATGTATGTATGTATGTATGTATGTATGTATGTATGTATGTATGTATGTATGTATGTATGTATGTATGTAATGTATGTATGTATGTATGTATGTATGTATGTATGTATGTATGTATGTATGTATGTATGTATGTATGTATGTATGTATGTATGTATGTATGTATGTATGTATGTATGTATGTATGTATGTATGTATGTATGTATGTATGTATGTATGTATGTATGTATGTATGTATGTATGTATGTATGTATGTATGTAATGTATGTATGTATGTATGTATGTATGTATGTATGTATGTATGTATGTATGTATGTATGTATGTATGTATGTATGTATGTATGTATGTATGTATGTATGTATGTATGTATGTATGTATGTATGTATGTATGTATGTATGTATGTATGTATGTATGTATGTATGTATGTATGTATGTATGTATGTATGTATGTATGTATGTATGTATGTATGTATGTATGTATGTATGTATGTATGTATGTATGTATGTATGTATGTATGTATGTATGTATGTATGTATGTATGTATGTATGTATGTATGTATGTATGTATGTATGTATGTATGTATGTATGTATGTATGTATGTATGTATGTATGTATGTATGTATGTATGTATGTATGTATGTATGTATGTATGTATGTATGTATGTATGTATGTATGTATGTATGTATGTATGTATGTATGTATGTATGTATGTATGTATGTATGTATGTATGTATGTATGTATGTATGTATGTATGTATGTATGTATGTATGTATGTATGTATGTATGTATGTATGTATGTATGTATGTATGTATGTATGTATGTATGTATGTATGTATGTATGTATGTATGTATGTATGTATGTATGTATGTATGTATGTATGTATGTATGTATGTATGTATGTATGTATGTATGTATGTATGTATGTATGTATGTATGTATGTAATGTATGTATGTATGTATGTATGTATGTATGTATGTATGTATGTATGTAATGTATGTATGTATGTATGTATGTATGTATGTATGTATGTATGTATGTATGTATGTATGTATGTATGTATGTATGTAATGTATGTATGTATGTATGTATGTATGTAATGTGTATGTATGTATGTATGTATGTATGTATGTATGTATGTATGTATGTATGTATGTATGTATGTATGTATGTATGTATGTATGTATGTATGTAATGTATGTATGTATGTATGTATGTAATGTATGTATGTATGTATGCATATGTATGTATGTATGTATGTATGTATGTATGTATGTATGTATGTATGTATGTATGTATGTATGTATGTATGTAATGTATGCATGTGTATGTATGTATGTATGTATGTATGTATGTAATGTAATGTAATGTAATGTAATGTACAATGTAAGCATGTATGTATGTATGTATGTATGTATGTATGTATGTATGTATGTATGGGTGCATGCATGTATGTATGCATGCCTGTACGTATGCATGTATGTATGTATGTATGTTTGTATGTATGTATGTATGTATGTGTATGTATGTATGTATGTAATGTAATGTATGTATGTAATGTATGTATGTAATGTAATGTAATGTAATGTAATGTAATGTAATGTAATGTAATGTAATGTATGTATGCATGTAATGTAATGTAATGTAATGTAATGTAATGTAATGTAATGTAATGTTAATGTAACAAATGTATGTAATGTATGTATGTATGTAATGTAATGTAATGTAATGTAATGTAATGTAATGTAATGTATAATGTAATGTATGTATGTATGTATGCATGTTTGCTCCCCAGTATTTCCCGCAAAAACACGTTTTCCCTGCGTTTTCGCACTGAGGACGTCCAAAAACACAGAGTTTTCCAGATTTTCGGCTACAGGAGGCAGGAAGCCCAAGCCAGCAAAAAAGCCGGCAGGGGGAATCGAGCCTGGGACCCCTGTTTTGCGACACCGGCTCCCCGAAGACTACGTTTAGTGGAACGTCATCAAATTGCCGCGCGGTTTGGAGGGGGAGGGGGGGGGGGGGGGGGGGGGGGGGGGGGGAGGGGGGGGGGGGGGGTTGGCGACCGAAAAACCATGCGTAATTGACGTGTCCCGGGGGGGGACTAAGGGGGGGGTTATCCTCTATCCTCTCTTAGGTATCCGACACGCCGAACAATGTCGGCGGACATAACTGCTACAAGACTTGGCGACCACTGTCAGTTACACAATTGGTGTTTCCTCGTTCTTTGCACCCCATTGCCTTGTACTTGTCCGGTTGCTGCAATTTGTGGTCCAGTTGAGATGAGGAGCTGACGCGCAATGGCTGTTTCCGGTCGATGCTGGTTTAATCTTCGAAGGAGCCAAAGACCGCCCGCAACACAAGCAGCCTCAACAAAAGAGACACCCAGCTGGGCGCTGTCTGTTTTTTGAGGGTTCTCATTTCACCTCGAATGGCTCACGAAACAAATAAAAAGGGTCAATTGTTTCAGGGCACCTCTGTTGTCTATTTTAACGCATACCCGCAAAGGTTCGGAATGATGTGGTTCATGCACTTCAGCTCTTTCCTGTTAGAACTCTTTTGCTATGAGTTTGTTTTGGTGGGAAATGCTCATTTTTGGTGCGTAACATAGTGTTGCTTTGTGCGTGTTTGCCATGGAGTTAGGCCCGGGAAGCTTTGAGTGTCTTTGCCGGTTCATCAAGTAGAGCCCGGAAAAGTTAAAGTTGTCCATTTGGCTGTTCATTGTTTGGGTGTTCATCCTATAGTCAAGCCCCAGCAAGACGGTCTGTTGTTTGAAGGCGTGAATTGCATGATCAGCAGTTGGTCGCGTGTGGCTGTGCCTATGAAGCCAGTATGGCCTTGTGTCAAAATTAGGAATCGACGCAATTATTAGGCCTCTCAATTTGGGTTTTGTCTCATATTGTCAATGGCACTGGGTTGGGGCAACATTGGCAACAAGCATCTGAAGCCTCTCAAACATTGAGGGCAACCTATGGATCAGCACATCAACGGTTGCAGCTGCATCGTTGGATGGGATTTGATCTGGAGGCCTGGCCAAGTCATGAATCGGTTGGTCGACTCAACTCCGTTCTTAGTATCACGATACTATCTTTCGTTTGTCCAAGAAAAAGCTCAAAGGCCCCTTGTATAGCTTGCCATGCTGTGCCATTGTTGGTCCATTGCGCTTGCCCGACTGCCCGGCAGGCACTATCTCTTCTTGCAGAACTTCATATTGTAACCCTGCAGGCCATGGTGCAGCAGTTTAGCGGCTAAGCCCTGTGGTTTACGAAGTTTGATGGAATGTGCAATCAAGCACGCAATAAAGGGGGAGGCCTTTTTAAACCTTTGGACTTGTTTGCATGGAGTCAAAGAGCAACCTGTCTGATTTTCGGAGAGTTATTTTGGGGAGTGACCCCTCCAATTTGGCATGAAAAAACCAGTTGTGGGGCTCCTCAGTCTTGGGTGGTCCTCTTTTGAATGGCATGGGGAGCTTTTAATGAACACAAATGCATGCACTGGAGGTAAGGCAAAGACCTTGCTTGACTTCGTGCTGGTTTGAGTACCATCCAGCCATACCATGGATATTCAAGGAGACCACTATTTACTGTTTGACAACAAGGCATTTACTGGATCTGGCAATGGGCACATGAGCGATGCTCTGAAACCTCTGCTTTGAAGCCAATATTCGGGAGGAAGTCTCGCTTTCCAAAGATATCAAAGTGCGTTTTTGTGTTTAAAGCTGCAAAAGGGTTCGCGAAGGGAAGTCATCATTTGCGTTGCGAAAGGGTTAAAATAAAAGGCCAGTTCGCCTACAAACTTTTCCAAAGACGACACGAAGCTTCAAAGCGCCTGCCAAAGAAAGACTCCGCAAAAGCCTTCGCGACTTTTGAAATTCAGCCGCAGGCATAAGGAACACCGCCATGGGTTCAAGGAAATGCGGAGGAAACCGCAGCCATTTTGGGGGTCCGAATCCTCACAAAACCAAATTGGAGGCTACACAAAACGGAGGCCGACGTGGTCTCCCTCACCGCGGCCTGCCGCGCTGGTCTCGGCTGGCGCAGAAGCGCAGCGCTGACGCAAGCGGGCAATGCCGCGACCTTCGCCGCGGCGGCGCCGCGCTCGGATCGCGCTCACCCGGGTGGTCTCGGGTGATCCCGGGTTTTTCCAGAAGGGCATAGGTGTCCTTTTTATGTTTGGTTGGAAATGGATGGCACTGGTTTGCATTGGTTTTATGCCCCATTTACCCTCCAAGCCATCAATCCAAGCCACTAAACGGGTGTTAGGTTCCCCAATTTAGGTGACCGGTTGATAGTTGAAATGGCAATGGGTTCCTTTCGGATGCTTCACACATTGCGCAAAGCTTTGTGTTGCTGGGGTTCCTGATTTCAGTGGCACTTCCCAGCAGTTTCCTTGGTTTCAAGTTGGGACAAACCATTGAGCCATTGGGTCTGTAGGCTCGGTACTACTCTCGTAGCCCTTGGTTTAGGAAGCCAACGGGAAAACCACTATTTGTGTGGGTCCTCCAATTTTCGAAACATACCCCCCTAGGCCACTTGTCATCCCAGCAACATAAAGAGAATGGGGCGATCTGCTTTCACCCTGTTGTAGATGCCTTCTTGGATTCCTGCGCCCTCATTTTAACACTTATTTAGTTGACAACAAATTAGCTGATTCTTTGGAAAAGGGTCGTGGCTATTTTTGCAGGCTGTTGTTTTGCACGGACGACCCGGCGACTGTCTTGCCATGCGGATGATGATGCTGTTTGCCCTACCTGGACAATACTTCTGGATCGAAACCCTGGGGCAGCTGACAAGGCAACTGCGCTCGTCTTTTGTCATCCTGTAAAGCTAGGTTTGACAACTGTTTGAGATGTGCGCCCATTTTGCGGGTTTTTGCGTTCGATTTGCGGCATTTGTCGGTCGCGCTTTTCCACAAAAAAAGACAAATGGTCAGACCAAAGGAAAATAATTCTTCTAAACTATTCAAAATTTAAGGCTTGCAACAAAGCCAGGTGGTGTGGTGCCTAGGGCCGCAGGCTCAGCTACCCCGAGAATGCTTTGCAGGTGACGAAGAAGTAGTCAACGTCACAATTGAACAGCAAAATGACTGCTTGACGCTGCAGGTTGTTGCCACTTACTTGGGGATCCTCATTGTCCTTGTTTAATAGGGGTTCTACTCACTTGAGGTTTGTACTTGGGGTTTGTTTTGATGAGATCGAGGCACATTGTCAGATTTTGTTCCTGAAGATTGACATGGAATCACCCATTCTCGCATGTTGACATACTGGAAGACCCTTCGTGGGATCAATTTGCAAGGGCGAGTGAATCGGTGGCACTTTTGAGGCTCCTTCCGGCACACGCCGAGCAAGAAACACGTCGGTCACTGTTCGCACTTTGAGAGAGGGTCCTTCGTTATGACTTGAAACCGGCTCAAGGTACTAGCTGAAGCAATGCAACCAATGGCTGAGTTGTTCGTCAGTTTCTCTCTTGAGTTTACTTCTCACTTGCCACAAATTGTTCCATGACTTTCCAGTGGGTTTTGCTTTGTTGCCCAGGTGGCTTCCTGTGAAGGCTGCTTCCAGTGGCTGACTGCCCAGTTGCTGCTTTCGAACTTCCGGCGATTCGCCTGGCAGTGGTGGTTGCCCGAGAGCGCCAAAAAGGTCCATCAGTGCGGCGCGAGGTTGGGAGCCCTTGAAGTGAAACAAGCTTATCCTGGGGAATGGGATGGTTGCTGAATTGCTGGGTTCCGTTTTTTGTTTGTTTGTTTTTTTTCCCTCCAGCCTTTGAATGATGATCATTTGGGCAGAGTTCGTTGAGGCTCAGAGAGTGTAAACATATTGGGCATGGTTCACAGGGGACAGGACCTGCCCGCTTCCCTTGCCTTTGTCATAGAGCAGCAAGCCAATTTTGGGAACTTCATGGGCTTTTCCACGTCTCTAACCTCGTGATTTGCTCGGTGTTTGCGTGTTGATCGCAAACATGGCTTTTTCCACCAAATTCAAGGGAAACCACCCTTTACCAGGCAATGTTCAGGTGTATAATGTAAGGATCCCTGTTGTCCTTTTGGTGGAACCGTCCGCGTTGCCAGGGCAGCTGGGTTTGGCCTTTGCAGCGCCTGGCGAAGGAATTGCAGCGCGTGAAGGCGAGGCCAGTCAGCCCGTCAGCCCGTCAGGGGTCACTGGCTGGTGAACATCGGTGTTTTGGATCTTGACATGTGCCCATGTTTGATCATTTCAAAGGGATGGGAGACCACGCATTTGTCTTGTTTGCTCTCAACATGGAAGGAACATAGTTACTCCCGCCCTTTGCATGATGGCACTTGTCACTTGGGAAGTTGTGTTTTTGTATTCAATCAGGTTGAATCTGGAGTTATGCTTAAATTGATGAGCCCCCTTTTGGTTGGTATTGAAAGGGAAACCAACATATTTACAAAGCATAGGGGACCATTCCTACTTGAGAAACCAGGGAGGAATATGATGATTTGATGACCATTTTGTTCGACCCCGACGTCTTTTTTTCCAGCCCGTACACTGCAGGCTTGTGGTTGTGGAAAGACAACGGGTGGCAAGTTGTTCTTTCGTATACGGAGTCACTGCAGCCTTCTGCCCCGAGGAAGGCCTTCCAAGAAGGGGAGAACGCCAGCCTCTGCCAATCGCTTGATTTGACAAACCAGCCCTCAGGTTTTTTGAAGGCATTCGCATGGGTTCCTCCCCCCCCAAAGGGTTCTGAGAATTCAGGTGGGTGCCCGAATGCCGTGGATCCAACAACATCCCATCACATTTGACGGTTGCGAATTCGCCAAGAACTTCGAGCATAGGCGGCCTGCACCAGGCCCAGTGATCCCATGTAGTGGTGGGATAATCCCACGAGTGAGTAATTTGGAGATTGAACTTCTGCCTTGAACCGAAGGTTCATTTGGTGGCGCTTGTGTCCGTGGCTAAAGCTCAGTTGACTGCCAGCTGAAACATGCAGTTTCAGATTTGCATGGGCACTAGCGTATCCCTCGCTCCACATGCTTGACATTGGATCGCTGCACATCAGCGCACCCAGTGATCCGCCACAGGAACCCCCTTTCCATGAGCCCGATATTTTGGATCTGACATGAGGAAGCATGTTCACTGTCGTCTACAGTGAATGGGATGACATTCACCCAATTGCCCCGTCATTAACTTGCTGGTGCTCAGGGAATGAGGGAATGACCCCCCATCAACCATCTTTCATAGTTTCCTTTCTTCGGGAATCCCAAACCGGTTCATTCCATTTCTCATTCCCTATGTTTAACTCGCACCAGCCGGTTGAGTCGATTGAACCTGCGGTGATCTACGGGCGGCACAGGTGCTGCTCACTTCGCTCAGCGCCAGTGCCAGCACGGAGCTGCTGGAGGCCCTGTGCCAGGCACCGCGGGAGGTTGCCATGCAGTATGTCGTGGGTTTGTCTGAAAATCGGGGAATCGGTGAAGCCGTTTTTTGTTGTGTGTGTCTTTTGTTAGGTTTTTCGAGAAAAACACGGTTTTTGGGTGAAACGGCGTTTTCCAAATGTCGACCTTTTTTTTGGAGTTTCGTGGGTAGAGGGGGTCTGGGACGGCCAAAGAAAGGCGGAAAAATCCGGAGGAAAGGCGGAAACAAACGGAAAAGTGCGGAAAAGTCCGGAAATCCTAGATGAGCCAGGTTTCCTTTCCACAAAACCAACCTTCTTTCCAAACAACGATCTTTGTTCCCAACAACGACCACAATTTAGTCCTTTTTGCTCGAAGGCGTCTTTTTGGTTTTTGTTTTTTTTCGCACACATGGGCTTCGCAGGAACTCAAACAAAAATGGGCAGCCACCCATATATATATATATATATATATGTATATATATATATAACACTTGAGAATGCGAGAGTGTTCAAACCTGTGACACGAGATTCCCTGCTTGGGGCATCTTTGAGCGTTGTGACACTCATGTTGGGACCAATTGCATGGAGAAAATTGAACTTGGGAATGGCTGAGGTGCACATTGACCTGTTTCTATAAAGGAACGCCAAGGAAGAAAATATGATCGAATCTCTGTAAAAGCCATGTGGAACCGGTTATTTTTTGTTAATTATGATGAAACAAACTTCCAGGTAAAAAACCTTAAAGCATTGCCTTCGCGCGCGGCGTGTCTGTGTGTGTGTGTGTGTGTGCGCGTGTGCGTGCGCGTGCATGTACGTTAGCGCGTGTGGGCATGTGGGCGTGTGGGCGTGTGGGCGCGTGGGCGTTTGGGTGTGTGTGCGTGCCTGCTTGCGTGGGTGTGTGTGTGTGTGTGAGTGAGTGAGTTAGCGATGGGTGGCTGGCTGGCTGTGTTCGGGCGTTCACGCGAGATGTGACTTCCAGGACGGGGACTCCGGCTATTGTGATCGCACGCCGCATGAACCTTGTATAATGTGTTTGATAGTGAGAGCATGTCTCAAACTAGCCTTGCCCCCAAATACTTATTTCACATTGTCCTTCAACCCCCCCCCCCCCCCCCGGAAAGGGTGTCCTCCAGAAAAGTCACACCCATTTGTAGGTACCTTCAAGATGTTTTAAGACGCGCCAGAAGCCGGGGCAGTACATGGAGCTGGTATCGCATCTGGAGACCCAACAGCTGGCAGTGAAGCTGCGCTACATCCCAGGCGCGATGCCCTCTGTTCCTATCGGTTCTTGGGCAAAACATGTTCACTTGTGGTGGGTTTCACCAGGTGCTGTTTGCGTTGTTGGGGGGGGGGGTCCTTATGGTCTTCCTCTGAACAACGCAGCACACACACGAAGCCACGCAACTAGGCTGACGTGGATGTGGCAACTAGGCTGACGTGGATGTGAAATGTGGCGTTAGCGCCGGACAAGTTGGAGTTGTTCTTCGAATTCTAACAGCATATCGTTCTCCGGCGCGATTCCAAAGAGCTGTTTGGAGGCCACGGCCTGAGTCCCTGAGTGGGGGATGCCCAGAAGGCTAAACCGCCGAAGTGGCCCAGTTTGCAGCCATAAGTTGCTGGACTTGGCGTCCAAGGGCAGCAGCCTGTCTTGTTGCCACCCTGTTAATATCTCAACAGGGCCATGAGGCATAGGCAGTTTCAAGGGCCGTTCCTGACAACATACCACTGCTACAACATACCACTGCTGCAAGGGTGACTTTGAAAGTGGACAAACACTGTGGTCAGTCTTTTGGTACCCGGTTTGGTCCAGCATAGCAATAGTTCCACACTAAACAGAGGCCATTGAACATGTGTGCTCCTCCCCCACTGAAGCCTGCAGGGTCCGGAGTTTGGCACAAGCTTCAGGCTTTTTGATAAATGCTTTACGTGTCGCCTATCAAGCCACTCCGAGGCAGTGTTTCGGAAGTTTTAGAAAGTGCAGCAACAGGAGAGCGGAAACCGACCAGCGAATGATGAAGCCGACCGACCAAACTGGGGAAAACAAACCTACTCAGTCCATAGGAGTCCATATCACATGGTCCAAAAGCACATTGCCGGAGAGGCTTTGCTCCAATTCTGGCACATGTGATGCATGCTCAGATCTGTGTCCATTGCGCTTGAAAAAATGTTGGGCTTCCTGTAGCTTCCGGAAGGGCTGTAGCACAAGGGAACATCTCGCTGCCAAGACTTCCTTCCGCAGGGCTTCCTCCCCATGTAATTCCAGAGATGTGATATTTGTATGGGCAGAGTCACCTGTCATTCTCTTTTAGGGGTTTTCTTATGGTTGGCGCGGTGTGTGGTGTTTTTCCCACTTTGCCTACCGAGAACACACAAGTTTCAGGAGGTTTTCAAGCACTCGCGTCAGATCTCCGGATGCCGGTGGTGGACAGCCTCGCACCTGCTTGGGCTTTCCGGCTGCTGATCGCCCACGCTGAGGCCGGGTCGGGGTCGGTTTCGTTTGGGCGCCCCTTAAGCGCAGAAAGGTCCCCGGAAAAAGACACCAAATTGGCTACCCTGCATTGTCCTGCATTGGTGGTTATGGTTGTTTTTGGGTTGGAACACAACCCTGCCAGCAAACGCCTTTGGGGTCTCCTCCAAACTGTTTTGGGTAGACTAAACGTGGAACGGGTCCACAAAAAACAATTTTCTTTGTACCCCCGGCGTGGTCCCAGGAATGATGTGTAGCTGTGGGTCTAGTCTAAAAATGTTGCACCATCCAACAAACAAAGCACTATGTATGAGGATTGCCATGTTAAAGGTTTCCTAGGTTCCCGATACACAGCACCCACCAACCCACCAAACAAAACGTGGTTACAGGGGCCCGTTGGGGGTGGGGCTGTGCAGTTTTGAGCAGTGAGCATTGTCAAACCAACTCCACGGCTCGCTATGCAGCCCAAATTGGTGTGTCTTTCGTCGGAAGGTACCTTGTCTTGTGGTTTACGCAACAAAGCAAGAAAACCACCTTATTTTGTTGGGGTCTCCCAAACCAACACACCCAAATGCTTGTTGGAACATCAAGCCTTGACTGAAGGTTTGCAAAAGCCTTGCTTCCCAGAAGGCAGCAGCAGCTGCTGCTGCGTGCAAGCTACGAACGAAGCAACCAACCGCAGCAGCCAAAGAAGGCAACGAAACAATTTCGTCAAGTCAGCAAGCCAACAAGCGACCAACCATGAAGGGCAAACACCAGCAACAAAACGCTACCGCAAACAGCGTCAACAGACACGACTTACAATCATTGGCCAACAGCCATTCCATTGACACAGAAGTCGTATACGAATAATTAATTATATCAAACTAAGGGTTCGATGTCAAAGGGCTCACAGTAGGGGAACCATTATAACGATGGACATACGAAGTGGATCAAATTATCATGATAGTCAAAGGGGTTCGATCGTTTCCCCAGGAGAACCACCCCAAACTAACCTGAGAATTTGGATTCATTCAGGGATGGAAAGCGGACATGGTTCGCAGTCGACTACTCTTGACTGTGTGCAACTTTCAGGGGTTGTCACGAAATAGACATGCAGTCGACTACTCTTGACTGTGTGCAACTTTCAGGGGTTGTCAACGAAATAGACATCCGAGGTGATAACTGATTGGGTATGAAACCAAAAATTGCATCAACAAAAACGATCCAGGGAGGAGCCGAACCTGCACGATTTGTGCTCTAGCCTGAGTGGCAAAGAAGAACAACGCCTCACCCATTGGGCAACTGGATCCTTACGACTTAACGCCCGAAAAAAGGCAAAACAAGCTTGCTTCCATCTTGGCCCGACCACCCGACAAAGAAGGGGGAATGTTGGGTGTGTGTTTGTTTGTTTGCTGGGTTGAAATTGCGCATGGATCTTTCTGCGGCTGTTTGATGCTGTACACGGATCCTACCAAGGATGCCCTTCTTGTAAATGGGTGAATCTCCGAGAACAAAGTCGAAGACTGTAGACCCATGATGGAAACCTTTGCAAGCTGCTCCTTGTGCAGCCAACAGGGAGGCAGTGTGAGCATTGAAACAAGGACTTGTGTGGGTACAGTTCAAGCATCGCGCAAGCCTGCTTACGTATCGCTAACGACATCACTACGCAAAATCAATAAAGCAAGAGCCAAGTCAAGTGGTTCTTGCCCACGCTCTTCCAAGGCTTCAGGCTTTGACAGCAAACAAAGGAAAGCCACCATGTGAAATTTACAAATGCTCGACACGTGAAAAGGGGGGTTGCTGCAGGTCATGCCAGTGCTTCCGCCAGATGCTGCTGTGGTGCTGTCGTACAACCTCCAGTGCAGAGAGGCGGGTGGATGTTCGCGGTGTATTTGGCCCTGCCACTGGACTATGGGTATGCACAAAACACCAAAAACTTGGCGGGGCCCAAAAGACCCATAAGGGTGTGGCTCAAAATTAAACAGGAGGGGTTACGAAGGTTTTGGTCCATGTTTCCACTTACCAGGGTTCCATTTTGGGTACCGGTTTTTTGAGCCACAGCCATAAGTGCAAACCTTCATGAGCTCACATGAGGCCAATGGGAAGGATTCCCCACTTACAGCTGTGCATGTAGGCCGAACGTATTGAGAGTCTTTTGGGTTGGGGAGGACATGGGAGGACATTGACATGGCAGAGCTTACCCAAATTCTTCCTGGGGTGGATTCAGGAGTGTCTACGACCATGGAGAGTGTGGGGGACGATCCTTCCCTGTTCCCTTCTCTTGCTTCCTCCCTTTCTTACTTTCTCATGTCTATCCTTATTTTCTGGGCCTGCGGCCTCTAGCCGGCTACGCCTTTTTTGAAGTTATACCATGTCATGTCATGTTTTGCATGAGAATCGTCGCGTGTGCTATGATATGCCTGGTTAGGTTATGCATGTTGCCCACCTTAACCCCAGATAATGCCGGGGATGCCGGCTTTCTGGGCCCCATCCGGGCCCCAACCCAGAAGGCTGACATGGGGTCGCGCGCGCCAGAGGACCCAAAAAAAGCAGCCCAAAAAGAGCAGCCCGCAAGCCAGGCCGGAAACGCAAATGCAACAACACACTGTAAATAGCAGCGTTTTGTGGCTGGGGTCGCGCGCGCGCGCGCGCGCCAAAAAGCCCGAAAACCAACGGGAAAAAAGCAAGGACCGCGCAGCACGCGAGCCAGCCACAGCAAAAGCAAAACGGACAGAACAACAGCCCAACGCTCAGCACAGCAGTTTTTGGCGGTATTTACAGCGTTTTGTAGAGCGAGGACCCAGCATCGCCGGCATGCCCGGCAGCGCTTGGCGCCAAAATGCGCAAAAATGAGCCTCGCTTATACCCCTCCGATACCTACTTAAAAACAATGCTTTTTGGGTGGAGAGGCTTTTTGGAAGGAAGTCTTGATGATGCAGACCAAGCCCCGCTGAAGCATCACCCAGGCCCAACCCCAGACCCTGACGATGTCAGCCACATGGCCTAAACCCTGCATATACGCGATGTTTCGTGAGGGTTTCCCACAGTCAAGCAAAACCGCAAGCCCGAGCTGGTGATGCAGAGGTGCCGGATTTAGGCCGCGCATCACGACCAAGTGGCGAGGGTCGGCGGCACCAGGGTGCACCCCCTATCTGGCTACGCCTCCTTGGGGTAGTGTGATTAGCCTGCTAGCTTTAGCTATAGGGGGTGCACCCTTGTTGCCGTTCAGTGATCATGAAACACAACTGCATCTCACACTGCTTGCGCGCCAGCCTTGGCTTCAAGCAAGGGCAGGGCAGATTGAAGACTGCTTTGGCAACAAAGCAGGACATGCCGCGACATTCCGACAAGTATGGCAGTGTGGCGCTATACTTGTTCATAAATGTCAATGGTGACTGGCATGTCTTGGCGCACCGAAGGTGCAGCGGGTTTCTTGCTACACCTGCTGGAAGCATAGATTCAGCAGATCTTGTCTACAGGCATGGTGGAAACTGGCAGCAAGATGCGGCCCAGAATGCCGCCTTAAGGGAACTGCGAGAAGAGGCTGGGTTGCATCTGGACTCCAACGTCACGGGCCACTTTTTCACGCTGGCAAAAGACACGACGCTGATAAACCAGAAATTTCAGGACAGGTTTGGGAAAGTGCATGGGGTTGGGGCGTGTGAAAAGCTGCATGTCCCTGTACGTTTGTTCTAACTATTGCAAACACTGTTCAAGCAATGCCCCTGCAGGAAGGCAAGCGGAGAAACGTAAACCACATCAATTTCGGCTTCGTCTTGCCGTCTTTCTGCCAAGATACACTAGAGGTCCATGGCCCTCAACACAAACACGAGCTCCTGCCACACGGGATGGCCAATGTGGAGGGGATCCCAACAAAGCCGCTCGAGAAGAATTCCCGGCACAAGTGGGTGAAGGTCAACACGATGCTGAGTCATCGCGACCTCTATGACCTTTGCAGGACTCCGCTTGCAGACTTCCTGGACAGAGTGAACCAAGCCGCTGTGGCAACACAGCGGCCATCACACAGGGCACTGGAAAGCATTGAACGACTCCCGCTGAAGTCGGTCCTCATCGCGAGCGAGATGCTGGCGAATCTCCTGAAGCTGTCGCATGTGGCTGGCACAAAGTCATTGGAGTTGGCCACTCCATTGGTGCAAAGCCCCGTATGATGTCCTGAGGAACAACATCGGGAGATTGACCAAGCGTTCAAAGTTTGAAAAATGTGGGAGGAGCCAGAGCAACCACCCCCGTGCAAAGGACCCAGCATTGGTGGAGATGATGGTGCGGCACTGGGCGCACGTCCACGGAGTCTGCGACTCTCTGGGCCAATGCCGCCATTTCCCCCAGGAGACCTCCAAAAGTTCTGGCCACATCGAATTCGATTACTTGCAGTCGGACAGACAGCACTCTGCGCAGTGGCAGCGTCGTATTCAAGACATCTGCGGAAACGCAGATGGCATCCACTTGCACTCGGTGGTTCACGGCACCTACTGGGAATGTGCCCCGGCAATCCTGAGACAGGGAAAGCTGACTGCGTCAGATAACGACGCCGGGCTGGGGGCACGCGAGTATCACGGCCGAGGAGGCCGTGGAGTCGGAGTGCGCCTTGCCAAGAAATTTGTGTTTGGTAATGATTCCTGAATGTTTAGTCCTTGGTTGTTGTAGTCTTGCCTGTTCGTGCCTTGCCGACCTTGTGCGCCAAGGTACACAGCAGAAGACTGGGAGCACGTCTTCGACCACTACGCGTGGAAGACAAATGTCTTCGGCAACAATGTCTACTACGCTTTGGGCTTCCAGCTTCTGGGCCACACCCCCAGGACGATTTTTAACATGCATCGTGGCACAGAGCTGGTGTGGAATGCGGAGGACCTCGTGATAGTGAAGGTGATCGTGAGGTACAACATGCGGGTCCAGCAGGGCGAGGCGTGCTCGCGGAATTTCCAGCCGCAATGCCGCCTGCTGCCGAAAGAGTTGCAGGGGGACCACGTGGCGGTGCCCGTATACGAAAAGATTGCAGCAAGCAGGTGGCACGACTGTGCCCACACCCCTCACTGGGAAGAAGACTACGTCCCACACAAGGAGTGGTTCCTTCACATGGACTATGACAAGGTGAAGAATCTCACACCCTTGAGCTGCTGCTTCCCCTGGGCTCCTCAGCCCACCAACGTGAAGGCAAGAGCTGCTGCGTTCATCGCTTGCCGGTCAGGCAGCCCGCGAGGCGGGTCACCAGTTAGATCCCCAAGCAGCCTTGCGCCGACGCCAACTGTGGTGCCGAGCATGGAGCAGGAAACTCCAACTCTGCAGCCGGAGGAGCCCACTTTCACCCAGCTGCCGGTGGAGGAGTGCAAGCAGGAGCCGGCAAGCCCAACTCCGTTTTTGCCCATTCCGGCCTGGTTCAACTATTCGCCAACGTCGCCGGCTGATGAGCCTGCATGCGAGGGGCCCCCAACACCATCAGTCTCTGAATCTGACCACAACAACTCCAGCGTGCGGAACACCTGACAATGACCCTGCACCGTGTCAATGTTCCTGATTCTGACTCTGAGGTGAGCGGAATCTCAGATGAGGATGATGAGGAGGAGCCGGATGACAAAATGTCACAGAAGGACGAGGACCAAGATGAGCACCAGGACCAAGATGAGTGGCGGTGGATGCCGCTTGAGTCAGGTCGATGGCAAGGAGCACAATTGCTGCGATTGGAGAGGCAGTGGCAGGACGCCGGGTTCCCAAAGCTCGGCACTGAGGCAGGCGATTGGTTCCACACACAAATTACAGCAGCGGAGACGGCCTATGTCACTGCGACAGGCATCTATGACAACATGCCTGACCCGGATGGTGGAATTGCGGCGGGGCTATCCAGGACTCGACAACAGAAGACGCGGTCGCGCGTGAGAACCAGATTCAAGAGATCCCGAGTGATTGGGCTGCCCTTCAGAACTCGGGGAAGCCAGAAAGCGACAAAGAGACTCGCGCCGGTGCATAGGATGCATTCCAGCGGCACCTACACCTATACACAATGGGTCGCTGCTGGATATATTGGCGCGCAGTTTGGCCGGCTGCCACGGGCGCCAAAATTCCCCAAGGGCCAACGCTGGTACAACTACCGGGGACAATGGCTTAAAGTCACCTTCAACGACGGCATTGAGTGGTGGACTGATGATCCATGCACAAAGCAGCAGCTGGCTGACGTAAAGGAATGGTTCCTGGGCCTCAAAAAGGTCAAAAACTGAACTGCGTCGCCGCAGTCAGTCTTTTGAATCATTGCTTCCGAAGCCTTTGTACAGCTGACGGCTTCGGAAGCGGTCGCACTTCAAGCACACAGTCCCGCAGATGTAAAAAGGGCTCGTCCGTTTTGCCTGAGTGTTTCTGTCGTGGCACAGTTCATGTTGCGGCATCGTTAATCGTTGATCACGCCTGTCGAAACATGCTCAAGTTGTACAGCAGCTGCTGCACCGACTGCAGCAACGCAGTTCGGATGGCGCCATGCCTTCTTCCAAATGCGTGATTAAGTGGGGAAGACTGTTCAAGTGGGCAAAACTGACTGAGTCGAATGTGCAGTGCCGGTACTGCAAGTGCTTCAGCCGCTCAGTGGAAGGATTGCGAACAACGCACTTGAAACTACATGAGCGTGGAGTACTGCATCGGTTCCGACGAGCGACAGCGCTTGGCTGCAGCCCAAATCTGCCAGGCACCCCGTGATGCGCTGCCTAAATCCGGCACCTCTGCATCACCAGCTCGGGCTTGCGGTTTTGCTTGCCTGTGGGAAACCCTCGCAAAACGTCGCGTATATGCAGGGTTTAGGCCATGTGGCTGACATCGTCAGGGTCTGGGGTTGGGCCTGGGCGATGCTTCAGCGGGGCTTGGTCTGCATCATCAAGACTTCCTTCCAAAAAGCCTCTCAACCCATGAAGCACTGTTTTTAAGAAGGTATCGGAGGGGTATAAGCGAGGCTCATTTTTGCGCATTTTGGCGCCAAGCGCTGCCGGGCATGCCGGTGATGCTGGGTCCTCGCTCTCCAAAACGCTGTAAATACCGCAAAAAACTGCTGCGCTGAGCGTTGGGCTGTTGTTCTGTCCGTTTTGCTCTCCGTCATCTTCGTGTAGTCTTCCGTCATCTCCCCGTAGTCTTCTGTCATCCGTCATCTTCCCATCAGCTTCCCGTAGTCTTCCGTCAGCTTCCCATAGTCTTTCGTCCTCTTCCCGTAGTCTTCCCGCAGTCTTCCGTCAGCTTCCCGTAGTCTTCCGTCATCTTCCCGTAGTCTTCCGTAGTCTTCCCGTACTCTTCCGTCATCTTCCCGCAGTCTTCTGTCAGCTTTCCGTCATCTTCCCGTAGTATTCCGTCATCTTCCCGTAGTCTTCCGTCATCTTCCCGTAGTCTTCCGTCATCTTCCCGCAGTCTTCCGTCAGCTTCACGTCATCTTCCCGCACTCTTCCGTCATCTTCCCGTAGTCTTCCGGCTCCCGTAGTCTTCCGTCATCTTCCCGTAGTCTTCCGGCATCTTCGTGCAGTCTTCCGTCATCTTCCCGTAGTCTTCCGTCATCTTCCCGCACTCTTCCGTCAGCTTCCCGGCAGCTTCCCGTAGTCTTTCCGTCATCTTCTCCTTGTCGTCGTCTCCCGCAGTCTTCCGCCATCTTCCCGTAGCTTTTGTCAGCTTCCCGTCATCTTCCCGAAAGGTTAGAGGTTAGGGTTAGAGGTTAGGGTTAGATGTTAGGGTTAGAGGTTAGGGTTTTAGAGGTTAGGGTTAGAGGTTAGGATTAGAGGTTAGGGTTAGAGGTTAGTTAGAGGTCAGGGTTAGAGGTTAGGGTTAGAGGTTAGAGTTAGAGGTTAGGGTTAGAGGTTAGAATTAGAGGTTAGGGTTAGAGGTTAGGGTGAGAGGTGTGTCAAAAATCCGCCGCGGGACCCCCCCTCCCCCCCTCAGACTCCCCCTGACCACCACTTAGAACACGCCCCGCCCCTTTGCAGAGACTAACTTTGCTTTTGCAAAGGGGTCGGCGGATTCCCTTCTTACCTTCCTGGCTTTCCTTTTCCTTTTTCTTTGCCGTGGAACATGCTTGTGCAGTCAGGGCCCTGTTTCGCTTGTCTCGCAACACGGAACTGACCCACACTTGCAAAGGGAATTGTTTAATGTCTATTCTTGGAGTTTGTGTGAAGACTTCATCGGTTTGCTTTTTAATTCACATCCCTTTGATTGAGTGCCGAACAAGGCTTGCAAGGGCAAGCCTTCGCATTGCAGGCTATTCTTCTTTACCCATTTGAGTCACCTGTCTCATTTGGGGGTATCGTTCCTCGTACTAGGAGTCATCAGCCCCGGTACACTAAAGGTTTCTTTCAGGAGCCATGACCCGTGTGTCCATAGGGTGCCATTTTGGGTTGGCAAGTGAAGCCAACCAAGAGTCACCTTCCCGCTTGGCGGTTTTTTGAGCTCGGGTTGGAGGCGTCCCCAGGATGCTTTCCCAGTTGCTCTCTATACAAGAAGCGTCCCCAGGATGGTTTCCCAGGTACCAACAAGAACCGGGACTTCAAATCCAAATCCAAGCCACGCTCCAAGCCACCGAGGGCTTGCCTCAGTCAGGCCCGCGCTCAAAAACCGACACGGCAGGGTGTGGAGGAGGCCGCTCGCAGCTGCGACGTCGCGGAGTTTCTGCGAGCTCCGCGGCTGGCTCGAGAGAGGCGGATGTCGTTTTTTTTTGTGAGGGTCGAGTGTTCAGGTACAAGGACTTGGGGTGCCGGCGGCCCCTTACCAGCAAAAAGCGTCAGCCATTGTTGCTGGAGGCCTTTTCCGCGGCAATACCGGGTGCCCCATCGACGTCAGGTCCTGCCTTGACTTGTGCTGATCCGGGTGCTTCGTGGCGCAAGCGAGCCCATCTCCAACCTTCCGCAGGTGGCATGTGCCCTGGCGAGGCTGACGCTGGGAGGCGTCCCGTTCTTCAATCCAATGGAAGACGCATTACCCGCCGGCCTTCAGTTCGGCATCGTTTTGCCAGCTGCCCAGCCCACATTGCAACAACTCATTCCCCGAGCGCTTTTCTTCAGCCTACAGTAACATCAGGCCGCTGCTTGTCGGGTGGACCACTTTCCTGACAACTGTCGGGACCATATGACCCACATAGCGTCCTCAGCCTTGGGCCACGGACTTGGGGCCCTTGATATTGTTGCTCACACACCCTAGCTTTTCAGTTTTGTCCTGATGTCACTGCTGCCTCTGCGGTCTGTTCGGCCCCAGGCTGTTCAATTTTCTCACCCGCTTTTCCCGTGTTATTTTGCGTACACAAGTTCCATGCGCTCAGTTGCTCCGCAAATGCTCTCTCTCTCCCTCTCTCTTTCTCTCTCTCTCTCTCTCTCTCTCTCTCTTTTTGTCTCTCTCTCTTGGCATAGGCTCCCTGCACATTGGCCGTCCCTCTTCCCTTGAGGCGTGGCCAACAAGTTTTTCGCACTCGAGGCATTGCAGTTTCTTCCACGGCATCCCTCCTTTCGGGCTCGTGGTTTTAGCGCCGGCCCTGCAACGAACCAGTGTGTTGCGGGGACAGAAGTTTTATCACGTTTTGTCAGCCGGTCTTAGTGTGGTCAAGCTTTGGTGAGGAGAGACCTGATCTGACCTGGTTTCTGGTTTGCGCCTGGTCCTTGTCAGTCGCGACAAAATGTGAACTATTTCATGGGTCCTTGACAGCCGTAGACAAAACGGTTTGGAAGTTAACTTCCAGATCAAGACCAGTTCGCACATTGACCGGTCATTTGCAGCTGATTTAGGAATGGCGCCAGCTCAACTCGGCCATTTGGGCGTTCAAGGTCTTTTGTGATTGCAGACTGGTGTGAGCCCATTGTGAATCAAGTGGATGGGGACGATCACTGTTGTCATGTAGCGGAAGATGCAAGTTGTGTTCAAGAAATGCCTGCATTTCTGGCATGGACATAGACCAATAGTTGGTATAAAAGAAACTAACATTGATAACTTACAGATGATGAGGTCCGAGGAGGAGCTCTGAAACAGGCGGTGCAGTTCTTTAGCGGTCCAGCTGCGAAAAAAGGCCTGGGCAATCCTTGTTGCACATTATCGAAATCCCTGCGTTTTGCCGCTACGAAGGGCAAAGCTATCCCTTGTTCAAGCCCCAAAAGCTGTGAGTATGCGAAAATCAAACCGTACCTGGAGTCTCCATGAGCCCTTAAAAAACGGGGTCATCACCCAAAATCAGGGGGTCATGACCCCATTAAAGGGTCACGGAGACTCCAGGTACATCCAGGAGAGCCCTGGGCCCATCACGTTAACCCACTCCCGGGGCATTTTTGGTGCAGGTGGCGGCGGCGCATCCTGCGGCAGCTTTTCTCGCGCGGAGTCCAAAGACTTTGGCCGAAGCCGTCTGCTTCAGGTCCTCAGAGGCACATTTACCACCTATCATCTCTTTGACTTCTATCATTCAATTTGGATTGGTAGGCAGATTTGGAGCTAAAGCAGGTACAGAAAGGAACATGGAGTGGATCCCTTTCCCAGCTATTTATCTCTTCATAGCGTATCTCTCTTGATTTCTGTCTTAGCTTAGTCATAACCTGTCAGTTTTTGGAATCGGCACAAAAATACAGGTGGTATGATTAGTCGCCCCTTCGCTCAGGGCGTTTTTCCATTGGCTATGCCTCTTCGTACCACTCGGTCGCACTCTTGCTAACACAGTGTGGAAGGGAATGGATGATAGAAAGCTAAGGACTGTTAGCCCCTTGTCTGAAGAAGACTCATCATTTCAATTGCCTCACCGCTGCAGCTGAGACTAGATTTCATCGTCACTTTCCAAGCCGCTTGACGTGAGAAACAGAAGGCGTATTGTCGAAGGGCTGGGTTATTTGCACAAGGCGGTTTCCCGAGGGTGGCGAAAGGGTTCAGGTGCCCCCAAGGAGTTTTGAACGCACAAGTTCCGCTAGCAACATCCCGACAATTGATTGGGACGCACAACCAAACGTAAGTAAGATGTCAAACAAAGTCGATCCGCCGAATATGAAGGGCCCCCCCTAAGATTAAGAATGGGCCGGGAAAACCAATTGGATATTATGATGGGCCCTGGTTCCTTTTCGTCTCGGTCCTTTTCGGCCCTCTTCGGCGCTCGAAAAAGATTGAGGCCCGCCCCTTTCCGGGGCCAGATAGCTGTCAAAAAGGCAATTTCCGAGTAAGACAATACAAAAAGCACCCACAGAAACCAGGTACCAATCTTCGGACCTTGTGAAAGTTGAGTATTGGTTTAGTATTGGTCTAAAATTGGTTTTAGATCGGTGCAGCAGTGGTTCAGTATTGGCTCTGGGAGGTTTAGCAGTTTAGTATTGGCTTTGGGCCTCCAATTTGATAGGATTTGCCAGTTGAGGCGGCCTTGCTCAAAACGAGGCTGCCACATCTCAGAGTTCCGTAGGCCAGCGCTTAGATTGTAAGAATGAATCGGATGAGGCGGGGGGAAGGGTTCTTCAAAAAGTGGGGTTTCCTGAATCTGGCAAGGGTTTTCCTTGAGCCGTAACCAACATGCGTGTTTATTCCGACATCCGTTTTGGGACGCTCCCTCTTTCAGAATCTGCCTGATCGAAAGCTCAGAAGCCGTCGGGCCAGTCCGTTCCAGGACACCTCAATCTTGGGTTTCGCAAAGCATGTCCCAACAAGCTGTCAGCACAAGATATGGTGAGCAAAGCCGCAACTTTTGGAGTGCTGTTGGCCGGCGTATTAAATGGCCCGGTGCGTCAAAGCATCGAACCAGTGGTGACGGTATAGTATCTCGGCAACCTGGGCAAAAGAGCTGCGATATTTATGGATATTAATGGCATTGTCTGCGGTGAGGTTTCTCACTCATAGATTTGGTGTTCAGATTCACAATGATCGTGGTTAGTTTAGATAAGGGACATTTGTTCGAGATTATAGTATTGCAGGGAGGGGGTGTTGTGCTTTTGCAGCTCTGTGGCACGATCATGACAACAGTTGCTCATCTCGCAGGAACGCGCAGGAGCCAACAAAGATCTGTTCAACTTCGTTGATGCCATGGACACAATCCCATGATCAAACCGGTGCCCCCTGACAAAGCGCTGAAAGGTACAAGGCGGACATCCTTTGTCTTCAGCACGTCCAGGCGGGAAGGGTGCGTTGTCCATGTTTGCTTGACTGGATGAGTGAGCTAATGCGACTGTGAATCTTGAGAAATTCCCACTGTACTTGCTAGGCAACTATGCTGAAAGGGCTTGCAAGAGCTTCCTAAGCTATACACTGAGTAGTATCACTGTTTTTGCGGTGTATATTTCAGCTGGCCGAATCATTGGAATTACGTGCGTTGTATGTGAGATGGAGTGCACATTGTGTCATGAAGCAGATGTGTGTGAGCGCATCATGTTTGCAGTCTTCCTTGCAATTTGCATGGTACACGAGAATTGGGCGACTCACAAACACAATCCCTGCACGATGCCCTCCAATGCACTAAACCTCGCACTTGACAGCGGACTTGCTTTCCGGTGATGTGAGTTCAATGCTCAAAGTATGATAAGAGCATTTCACGCACGGATCAAAGGGCCTGATGCGCTTCCTTCATTCTGGTATCTGTTAAGTCTAGAGCCTCATTGTTCTGTGTGCCTGTTGTTTGCCGTTTTCCGTTTTGTTGCGTTGCTTCCGGATTAGTTTGGCAACTGAAGGCTGTCCCTCCGGACGTTCACAGGCCCTTCGCCGGAGAACCCTCCTTGCGCTTCTGAGAGTTCAGGCTGATCCGAGCTTGCCGTGCTCCAGCATTCAGCCTGCGACAGAAGGCCCGAAACGCGTGTTGGATCGGAGCCAGACATAGGTTGAATTGGCAGGATGTCCTAAAGGACAGATTTCAAGAGTAAGATGCATTTGACCCATGTTACCAGGCTCAGGAGCCAGTGTCTTTGCCTGTGTGGGCTTGGGTTTCGGTCAATTTGGTTTTGCCTTGTTTCAGCATATGCTGGACTGCAGCCAAGTTCAGTTCCAAACAACATACAAGTGCTGTGCCTGCAGGGCTGTCTGGTGTGGTCGCACAACTGCAGGTTGTCGACAAGGCAGAGCAATACCTTGTGTGGTCCGGCTTCGCAGATGCCTTTCAATCGTTTACACCGTTGACACCAACAAGTTGAGTCGACTTTTGCTGATGTTTCTTTCATTTGTCCATGGGGCGCAATGTTGTTAGCCTTAGAATGTGAACGTGTGCCCTAGATGTGAAACAATATTATTCAAGCATTTGGAATGTTCAATATGGGCACTGCAACTAGATGTCCTGATTGTATCGACAAAAGCAAAAGTGTAATTGACCTGCAAGTATTCTATGTTGATAATGCATGTCATGATATAATATAATCATTATGCCTAGGATTTGATATAAGCAAAGTGAAGCTGCTATCATGTTATGCCATGTGAACTTGTGCTGCAAAGTCACGATGTACTATACGTGTCCGGTGTCTGTGGGTGTATGTACATGTCTAGCGTGTACATATACATGTTGTACTTACATACGCTTGTTCCACTGGGTGAAGGCTACTGCATGAGTTTGCCGAAAAGTTGCCAGATGGCCCAGGTTGACGTTCTTTTGGTTTTGTGTTTCACTCGGTAAACCATATCTCTGCCATGCAACGCCAAGCACCTTTGTTGTCAAGTAAGCAACTAAACGCTTTGCGCCGCAAAACACAAACAGACACGCTCGGACACACAGAGCACATACTCACCACATGCATTTTACCGGCATGCGCAGAAGCTGGCAAATATGCAACACAAGGCGTCAACACCACAGACCCACACACAAATGCACCCCTGTATGTGTAGCCTCACTCAATCTGGGAGGGGCTGGCCGCTATCCTCAAGTATCGCATCATATGCCCACGCGATCCGGGGATCGTGCATGTGCAAGGCATGCATTGTTTGCAGATGCGCATGTAACTGTAAGGCCGTCCGGAGCGTATTGCGTCGCTACCTAGGAACAACAGTTTGGCACTGGGTTGGGCTTTGGGGGAACGAGCTGCATCAGGAACTCAGTTGACAGCTAGGCATACAGTAGTCTAAATAGCTTTCTCTAATTTGTTGGTTCTGTTTCCAACTCATGCTGACGCGATACTGTATGTTATAGAGTCTGTGGGACACTTCTGTCGGGTCCAGGCAAACCAAAAGGAGACCAGCGATTGCAGGCCCGAAAGGCAGCCTGGTCAGGGGCTCAGTGCGTTTTGCTCCCTCAAATTTTGGATCCTGGAACCTCAAGAGCTTCAAAAGCGGCCCCGGGCCCCAACCGGAGAATTGTCTAATGGGGGTTCTATGTTGATCTGGCCACGAGCGAAACGAGGAATACCAGGCACTGTCAAGTTACACCACCACCCCAATGGCAATGGTGCAGTTGCTTCGACGTGTGCTGGAAACCTGTCCAGAGAAGGTTGCAGTTTCGCCTTGTCCGAAGACGCAAAGTGCAGCTTGCCCTGAAAACCACAAGAACAACAAGTTGTGGCGAAAAGGCAGCAACATGCCCTACCGATGGCCGATTCGAGCAATGGTAAATCACTTGGGGCGCATTCACCACACTACCATAAGGAAATAGGGGCTCACTCATCAAAGTCTCATGTCAGTTGGGGGCACAATGAATATTGACCGTCACTTGTGTGACAACAGCAGGACAAGCCGCTGCCTGAAAAGCCGACATTTTGTTGGAGCCCAGTTGACTTGGGGCCAAATTTGACTATCAGGCTTGCTTCAAGGCTCAGATTCATGATCGCCCATACAATGCTTGGCCAAAGCTGAGAGCCAAGCCATACCTCCCATCCAACCACCAAACAATTGACTAGGACCCATCCTTTGGAAACTGTGAGGCAGTGAGGCCATTGAATCCAGGGGTTCCAAAGCCAAGGGTGAACGGCGAGGTATTCAAAGTTGTTCCCAGGAGCTCCAGAGGCTGCCGCCGGGATCTTTGCCGCCTGGCACAAGTTGGGGTTTCGGGGGGGGGGGGGGAGGTCACGTTGATGGCGATTCGGTGCATCGTGACGAAAGAGAAGAAGCAAATTTGAGGCGTTTGAACCTACTACAGGTGATCGATCCTTTGGCCCATTGGCGCAGCACGTGGCACATTTGGGTAGGGATTGTCCGAATTCTCTTGGCTTCTGGTTGGCACGAGTTTGGAAAAACATGTGTGCTCCATGTGCTTTCTTGCGGGCCATGTTCCAATGTTGCAACCATCGAAAAGAAGCTGGCGGGGCTTTTCGAACCTATGGATAATAAGTTGAACATCCGTGTCGTGAGACTCGGTGTGCTTCTGCATTTTAGACAAAGGTAGCGGGCATGCCCAAATCAAAGCCCTGATGGAGGTATTTTGAAGCCACATCTCAAGGTCAAGAAACTTTGAGAAGCAAATCAACCCACATCCAATAAAGAGTTCGCCTGGGCATGCCCAAAATACTTCCCTCGCGGGTTCTTGTGCGTCTAGTTTAACACATGTCTTGTTTTTCCGTCTCAGTTTTTTTTTGGGTTTTCTTGTTCTTTTCTTTTTTTCGTATTGCATTTGCATGTTTTTTTTCTCGTTCTACATCTATTCTAGCCTGCAGGCTCAGCGCACTCACCGCCAGACTCACTGAGGAGGAGCTTTTGGGCCACCAACACTGAGTTTGTTTTTTTGTTCAAGGGATTGAGAGCCATACTTAGAGGAGCCATAGTGGCCATTAATAGGGACCATGCCCATTGGGGAACTTAGGACCTTGAAGGACTATGAAGCACCAAGCAGCATGGCCTTCCCACAGCTCCTCTTGTTGTGGGGGAAATCAGTATAAGACGCTTCGCTTGTCTCTTGGCAGGACTTTGACTGGTGTGTGGCTCCTGTCCTGCTCTTAGAGAACCAAGTTGTATGTTTGCAAGATCATTGGCAAATTCTTACATGATGCTTACCATACATTATTGACATCCAAGGATGGAGACTCTGTGGTTTGACTGTTTCACCATGTTTGACCTCTGCATCCGCTTCAAAGTATTGGGCATTGCTTGTGAAGTTTATGCGTGCAACACTTTTTTGTGCAACACTTTTTTCGTGGAAGGACTGGTGCTTAATGTGCGATACCAGGCAAACAGCGTTCTTTGCCATGCAAGAGCTCGGCACTCCAGCCCCAAATCGCTTGCTGTTAGGCAATGACCTCGGATTGCTCATCCGATGCCCCTGGGTTTCGGTTTAGTGGGGCATCATCAACTCCTTCCTATTTCTAAGGTTGTTTTTTTCTCCAAGCGGGATGCATCCTCGCTGAAAGTAGGCAATCCCCGCTCAAAAGGGGGACACCCCTCTATTAGTCATCCAGGCGTTCATTCATCCGGGGTCAACATGGATACATTGTTCTATATTGACCTGGTGGATTTTTTTTGCATGGGCCGATAAGGCGGCGACGCCCGGATGGTGCAATGCGGTCGCGGCCCCGTCACGGGCCTCCAATGTGATGGGACTTCTGCTTGCCGGCGTTGAAGCTGCTGTGAAATGTTCTTTCATGCTGAACACACAATATACATATAATTATATATATATACATATTATACATATATATATATGTATACGTTGCTCGTTGCTCGTTGGATGCTTTTCGTGTCTGGAGCCATAGCTGACAGGTCGCGAGACGTTGAGGCATGCCTAGGCCATGACAGATGGTAGGCTTTGGAAGGCTCCCATCCCAAATCGATCAGCCCTTTTTCAGAAGTGGATGTTTGATTTCTCTATTGGCAAGACTTGCCTTTTGTCATCATGAGACAGTTGTTTGAGAGTTTGAGCGCCAGGTTAGTGGAGCGCTTTTGGCATTAGTTCTAAACTTACCGCAGGTTGAGTAGTATAAATCCAGTGGACGAGCCACACTGTTTGTTGCTTGGCCAGAAATATGTGTGTTGGCCGAGCCGATGACGTACAGCTCAGATATATATATATATATATATACACATATATATATATATTATGTATATACAATATGTTTTCTTTTTAGGAGCATAGCCACAACTTTACAGAGTCCAGCATGGTCAGACGACAATTGCTTTAAACAAGGCTCCAGGTCCTCTCGCATGGTGAGCGCCTGCTGATCGAGTTATCCGAAGTCAGGATATTCGCTGATGGGCTACTTCACGAGCTCCGAACCTTCTGTCTTGGCATGAGGCATGCTTGTGGACACCTACAAATCCCAACTGTGAAAGCCCGTCAAAGTTCGGACACGTGGTTCTGGACTGTCCTTTGGTGTAAAGTTGGGCGACACATCCTTCCCATCTCCCCGGGTTACCATTTGACCATGGTTCTTCTTTTACAGCACCTCAACTATAGATGTAATTTTATGTTAGTTTGGTTAAACATAGATGGCGCTGGTTTAGATTTACTTTATGCCCCGTTTACCAGGATCGAGGTTTGTCCAAACGGTCGCCCATGTGCTTCTTCAAAAGCGAGGGGATGGGAAACCAAACAGTGGGTCCGATTTTGAGTTGCCTTTTCACTCGACGGCATCGATCTCCCAGATCGCTTGGAAGCGCTCGCGGTGGTGCCTTCGCTCCTGGGGATGCCTGGCACCCATCCGACCTTTGGAAGGCCAAACAGACGAGCCTCCAGGGTTCACGCCTGGTTCAGGACAAAAACACAAAGTCACAAAGTGGTAAGACATCAGTGCCACTGCGAAGAGATACTCCCGCGCATTCAGATAAACCTCCCAGAACAGCAGTTTTCAGGATATCAATTTATGAGATTGGTCTTCCAGTAAAGAAGGATCCTGACTTGAAACATGGTGCCATTCATGGAAATCTTTGGTTGTTTGCATGGCACAAGCTGTGTTGTTGTCAGTACAGCATTTGAAAGTAACTTTTTGAGGGCCTGTACCCTCCCACCAGCTAACATGGAACCTGACTGAGGGGTCCTGGGGACAGTTGTGCTTTTAACGATTTATGCAAAGTGATCCTCTAGTGGGTTCCGTGTTGGTCGGCAGGAGGGTTCTTTCAACGCTCTGCGGCCTTTCTAGTCAGCCTAACCGGGCACGTCCAGATCCATGATAATTTCGTCGGAGCTTCATTCTCAAAATGGCGGACCCCTTTTGGTGGGAAACCAACATGAAACCAAACATTTGAGGGGACCATTAGAGAAACCCGTGTGTCACCTTTGAAGTGTCTGTAATTGGTTTTGGCCAATCACAGGACGCAATGCATGCCAGCTTTTGCAGGAGCATGCGGTTAGTGCGCTTGACTTCTTTCCCAGAGCATCCCTGGCTTTGTCGGTTACCTACAATACCAGGTAAATGGATCCACAGGGTTTGTGTTCTCTTGTCAGAGTTGAGAACTTCCAGTTTTCAAAGCACTGGGCAAATAGAGACAATCACTGAGCTTTCGGACCAAAGAGCCGCGTTTCGGAACCATTTTAGTGGCAAGCAACAAGCTACAGGACTCTTTTTGGCCAGTTTTATTCGGGAAGTGAGAAAAATACCCAAGCAACCACCTAAAGTCACCAGATTTGGGTACGGGTCAAAATGAAACCACTAGGGGACCGCAGGATTTCGTCCTTGATTCCATTTACCAGGGCTGCCTATGTTGGGTACCCATTCTTCTGACCCACAGCCATGGAAGTGGATTCCGATGGGCCGCTTAGGCGTGGGCGGTTGCATCACCAGCGCCTTCTCCCCGATCATGGACGATGCTCCAAACTCGCCGCGACCCAAATCTGGGAGGAAGGGGTCCCCGGGATTCGAGCTTTGGCCATACCACTGTTCTTGCAGACTCGAAACCAGCCGACCGGCCTGTTTGAAGGTCCCAGTTCTTGACAAACAGACACACACGCACACACACACGCACACCACACATAAGTCACAAGGAGTTTCGGAGAGGCGGCCCAATCCATTGCTCAACAAAGAGACGAGGGATTTTTCCAAGTTCGCCATCGGACCTTCTTTGTGTGCGTGCGTGTGTGAACTTCGGAGTTGTACAATGCCACTGCCTCGCTTCGCACGACTGGTTTGCTTTACTTTGCTTTACTTTGCTTTAGTTTGATTTGCTTCATCACAGCACCCTAAGTCAGTTCGTGCTTTGTGAAATCAGGTTTTATTGCTCCTGCTTGCGCCACGTGATAAGCAGCAAAACACGTCTCATGCAAGTACATGATGCACACATGCAAGCTATTGTTTGCTCAATCTCCGGTAAAGTAGCTGATCAATTCCACTACACAGTTCAGGGGAAAAGGATGGTTGGCTGCAAGGCTGGGGCAGCATATGGGCACCCTCTTGTCCTGAATCTTGGTGACGCAGGTGAATTTGGCGTTAGAACACTGGCTCCAATTTAGGCACGCCTGAGACATATTGCATGGGACCTGCAACACCCCTAGCTTGTTCAGGCGACCCTGTGGAGATTGGGCATGGTGTAGGCAGACATGCTCATCTTGCAATTTTCGTAAGGGTTTGGGGTTTCAGATGGCTGGCTTGCTCATGGGAGTATCTTGGATGTTGTGGAGAGCTGAGTTCTTCGATTTGTTTCAGCGCGCTCCGCACATGAGGCTGTTGACCGTGGCCAACATCGGCGCAGAAAGTGGCAAGGACGGCGGTGACTAAGTACACAAACTGACAACCGTGTCAGTCAGGGGCGACCATGAATCGCTTGGTTCAGGAAGGAGGTTCTAAATGGCTTCTAAGCGACAGGTTCCAGCTTGCATTGCATAACAATTATGCATGTGTTGCACCTTAGTACTCATCCCTGAGACAGAAGGTTTTATGCATTTTTGTTTGCATCAGGACCTGTTATGCGTTCCTGTCTGCGAGAATGCTTAGGGAATCAACCGAAGCGACCTCCATCACCACAGCATGGGGCAAAACCCACCCAGAAGCTGAAACCCAGGGTTTGGGGACATTTCTATCCCACAAGTCGTTTGCACTTTAAGGGGTTCTGAGTGTGGTGAAGTTGCAAGCTCGTCGACAACATGCTCAAGCCACAAATGACCTGAACATACCTGAGCCGATTCCCCACGTTCTCGCCTGGCAGTTTTCCACAAGCGGGAGCGCTGGAGTCGTGCTTGTAACATCTTGTAACAAATTACATTGCTTTGCACACCTTTGTCCTCTGGCTAATTCTCAATCTCAATAGCTGCCTCGCTTTCAGGGCGTTGCATGGAACTTGTTTCTTGAACCGAGAGGATGCCATGCCATGCCGGAGCCAGGACTTTGCAGAAAGCCTCAGCGCATTGAAGGCGCAGCAAAAAGTCGTCGCATTCCGTGAATCGGTGGCATTCCACTTTTTGGGGGGAGGGGTGCTACAAGGGCGATTGAGGTTTGGTTGACAGCTTCAAGTTCGCCTTCTCTCGTGCTCTGGAGCATGAACCGTGAGCTTTGCATTTTGACGTCAAGTCCATTTGCTGCTGGCCACATTGCCCATCTCACTTAGACTGCGTGTGTTATTGGCACGAAACTTTTCGGCTGTATATTTGGGTGTAGGTTGCAGGGTTTTCTAGGCCGCCAGGGCCATTTGGTTGATTGATAATGAGAGGCTGCTTTGCTTGTAGTTGGCGAAGATCTCTGATGAGGTTTGTGTGACTACATGGTGGAAAAGCAAGCAGAATGGGTGATGTGCTGTCATGAGTGACCTAGACTGTAGAAGAGCTGTGCCAGCCAGCAAAAGGCTTCGTGTCGCTTCTGGCCCGGAAGGTATATAAGGTGAAATGACCCAAAAATAGAATGTCCAGTCAAAGGAAAGACCTGATTCTAGTAAGCTCTCCTTCATTAGAGGGCGGCTGGCCAATTGTTGGTGAGCAAGCTGCAGTTCGCAAATTGGCGAACAAATTCCTTTGATCACGAACAACCCCCCTTGTAGCAGACAAACCGTGGCGCTTGGTTTGCTTCGTCTGAAACGACAGAGCCCCAGTTTCTGCCGTGAAGCCCTATATCCAATGTGACTGCTTGCTCATGCCTTCCCAGGCATGTCCAATGGTGCTGTGTGGGGCAACAGGCGCGGGTTTGACAAGCTGTCGCTCCCTTCCCCAATCAAAAATTGAGACTTGGCTTTGCGTCAATTCAGGGACCCCCAAAATTATCTGGTTCCATTTAGTTTCTCTTTAAGCTGAAAGGAGTACGCCGCCATAATCTCTCAGATTACGTGTATGTATATATATATATGTGCGAAGCCTTGCCTGTGTGGGGTGTTGAAAGAATTGGAGGCCATTTGGTCCGCTAAGAGGTCCTGGGGGGTTCAGCGTCCCGGAGCTTTTGAAGTCCCTTTGACGTAGAAACCCATGAGACAGCACTTCCAGTTAATGGCTCATCGCAAGTATTCGAGTTCATCGAAAGTGTCCTTAAGGTTTAAGCCCCAAAATGGCGCAACCGTCTTCCTTTGAGTTTTCCTTCAAAGTCAAAAACGGACCCGTACAAAAAGACCTGAGCCACCCATTTGTTCCTGATTGTAGTTAAAAGTCTTTACTTCGGGCAGCTTCCCAGCAACACAGAGTTTGTTTTCAGGTCCAAGGCTTGCAGCAATCACCAGGTGAGAAACCTCGGATCAAGAGGCTTTGGCTTAGATATGAGCGGCTCGTCATTTTTGGAGTTGGTACCCTTTTTTTGGCGGTTGTAAAAGGAAACCAACAGGAAACCCACCCAAAATGGTGGCCCTTACAAAAAGACGAGCCACCCATATCAATTGGGTTCTTTGTGATATCATCGGATCCAAGTACCAGTCAGGTTTCCAGGAGAAAGAGAGAAGCGGTGTCAAAGCTGCAAAGGAAGCAAAGGGCGGGGGGGTTCATCCGTATCCGTCACGTCAAGCAGAAGCCACCCTGTGGTTCAGGGTAGGTTTTGAACTCACCTACGTGTCTTTCAGTGTGCATTTCCGTCAGGTCACTCCCACACCATTTGGGAAGATCCATTGCCTCACTTTTCCCAGGCGCTGACATCTCCTCACCCAGCTGGGGCTTGGCTTGGATCTCAGTGAATCGGAGCTGTCAGCTTTCCTTTTGGCGTTTGAACCGCCCGGTTTGGAGGTGTCCGTGGGTGGGAAATCCCCCGATTTACCCTGAAGAACCAGGGCCTTTTACATCCAAACCCAAAGCATGTGGCCATTGGGACAAGTAAAACCCAAAGCATTGAGGGTAACCTGGGTGGCCATCGGGACAAGTAGAATGCCCCAAGCTTTCAAGCTGAGGGTGGGAAGCTGCGCAGCGCTCACAAGGAGGCGAGGCGCCCCGGGTCACGGGCGCGGCGCATCGAGTGGAGAATCGGACCCGCCCGAGCGGACAAAAAGATGAATCGGCACGAGCCCCGATTTTCAGGCTTAGTTGAATCCTTTCTGGCCCAAAAACCCTGGACCATACATGGATTCAGCGCTCAAAGGCCAAAACTTCGAGCAAACAGGTCGGAACGGACGCATTTCCCAGCATTCATTCTTTCAAGAAGCTATCCGGACTCGATGAGTTCTACCCCCGCCCGAATGCTCAGATCTTGGGCTCCGAGCTGCCGTGGACGGAGGTGGCTCCGGGGCGCATGGACACATCGACGGCTTAGTGGGAGTTCGCCTCGAGTTCACCCACCAAAACCCAATTTTCTGGTGTTTCTTATGTTTCTAACTTCCTGGATTCCTGAACATATGATCACTTGTTAGGAAGACCATGTTATTTGCCAAGAAACAGTTCGGACTGCTTTGTGGCCACCATCAGGAAAGTGAGGTTTGGTGGGGGGGGGACCCGCAAAAATGGCTTCAGTTTTCCTGTTGGTTTCCCTTGAGAACACCTCCAACAAAAAATGGGGTACCTCCAACCAAAAGGACAGACCATGAGGCCCACCCGACAGGTTGTTGATTCGCTCGCCCAGAGATCCAGCCAGTGGGCTTACTGGTTGCTTCCATGTCCTTGAGACGATTTTGTTTTTTGTTTCCCCTCTTGGTTTCAAAGGGAATCTATCGCTGGAAATAGGTTTGTGCTGTCCATTGGGCAAATTCGCACATGGAAGGTTGCTTGACGTGTTACCTTCCATCAGCGCGGATATATGTGCTGTTGGTAGTGCCGTGATGGAGCAGACAAAGCTAATTTGGCCCCTCATGGGGGGGGAAGGGTGTTTTTGTTTTTGTCATGTAGGGGTTTGTCGGTTTTCGCAAGACTTGTCCAAGAGATTCGGCAAGAAACCTCAAGTTGACCAAGGGAGCAAAACCAAACAACAAAAAGTGAGATCCTAACTCAGCCAAAATGGATACATAGGGTCTGTGCTTGGTTTTCTCGGTTAGAAAAACAACCCAATAAACCTTTGGAACACCAAAACACACACACACACACAACGAAAACAACCAACCCGAACTCAACCAACATGGTTATGATGGGTCTGCATGTGTGTTTTCACACTTTGTCAAAAGCACGCAAAGAAGACGCCTCGAGAAAACAAATCTAGCAACATTGCAGACACTAACTCAGCCAACATGGATACATAGAGTCTCAAATATATCTCAAGTTATATTTTTAATGACGTTATTTTTGAATTGGATTTCATTCAGATTTATCTATCATTTAAGTATACTTTGAAAAGACAAAACATCGATTAGACTATTTTTAGTTAATTCATAGAGGTGAAATTGCATTTCCCTTGTTTCGATTTATTGTTCAGGCGTTTTAGCGGGCAGGCCATGTATGATAAACAATAAGACTTCTGTGATTCATTGATTCAATTCCACTTGCAATATAATCACACTTCAACTCAAGCCCTATTTGGCATCAAACTCCTATTTTAAAATTTATACTTGAGTTGTTTCGTTATGACATGCGATATACTTTCTATGCTTGTTTCATCTAGCTCCTTTCCAGGCAGACACCATGTGGGCACAGCTCCGGATTTGGAGCCACATTGTGTTTTTTGTTTGTTTTTGTGACTTGTGTTTGAGCAACTCAAGGCTGTTCACACGTTTTAAGCAAGGCAAATCCGATGGCACAGCTCAGGATCTGTTGCCATGGAGTGTGACATGTCTTTTGTTGTTTGACCCAGCGTTGTTCGCACTTGTTCAAAGCAATTTGGGCACTGCGTTGAAAGCAACAAAAGGGCATTGTTGCACTTGCTTACTTGTGATTTTCAATGACTGCTGCATGCCTAACATGCGCGCAGTTCTCACATATTTGCCACCTTTGGGCTCAATTTGTCACATGTCATGGTGAAAAGACGACAAAGCACACTCCATAGGGGACGCTCTCAAGCTTTTGGGTACCTTTGGTATTGAGAATAGGTGCAGATCCAACCACTAGACGTGCGGGATCCACATCCGCAGGGAACCACTTCACTTCAAAGCCACCGACGAGTGCTAAATCGTAAAGGCACCCAAAAGCCATCGGGGGCATTGGTTGTTACATGTGTATTGGGATGGACAGAACTAATTTGCTGATGTTTCATATGGACACGTTGCCCATGCGGCGATGAAACTATGGCGCTGACGTATTCATCTCGAGTCAAATTCCACTGTGTGTATGGGTTTGGGTGTTGACGTATTCATGGCTGTCGAGATCAGATTCGCTTGAGCAAGTTGAGCACCTGCTTCGAAAGGTGAATGAGCACGAGCTCAGGCAGGGCGCGCGTGAGGCAGCTGGTGGGTCCTGAATCCTGGCAAGTGCTTGTTTAAAGTACCCTCCTACCAATGAATGAACATGGAACCTGACAGGGTGGTCCTGGAAGACCATTGTCCCCATGTCGGGTCCCTTGTTAATTGGTGGGAGGGTATCTCCTTCATGAAACTTGGCCACTCGGGAGACGTCATTTATCTTAGTGACGTGCTCTAAGTCTTCGTCTTGACGCCAACCAGTGTTTGTTGCAGTGAGGGCGTGAGCTGGTTGTGTAGCATGCGTTTTTCCGAGCGAGTCCTGACGCGGCAAACTTTTCGCGGGCACGTGTCAAGCTGTTGCAAATGCGTTGTTCGGTGGGGTCTTTCCAGACTCCTGTGTGGCTTTGCTTTTGGACCTGGTTTGGTAGCACTTGTGCCACTGATGTGGAGCAGCGGATAGGCAGCTCATTTCCATGGATGGATTCCATTTATACTGACCCTGCGATCTTGAGTGCGCGATTGGATCATGCGGCTGTTTGCTTTTTGAGTTGGTACCCCTTTTTGAGTTGCAAAGAAGTGAGAAAGAGGTGATGGCAACACTCGGCAAACAAACACCAGAAAAGAGCGAGATCGCAAGCGTTCGGCTCTGATCGGATCAGTCACAAAACCTTAGCCCAGGAATGGTCCCAACCATAGGTGCGGTCACCCGTGTAATTCTTTGCATTGACATGGTTGTTTCTCAAAGTTGGGGATGGTTGCCTTTTGGCTTCCCTTTACCACCCACTCAAAAGGGTGTTCCCCATTTTGCGAAGCACACAAGCAGTTGCGAGTATCCAACTGCAACTTAAACTGCTGCGTTTGTGAATTGAAGTATGGGTAGACAGAGACGACCTTATTCCCAGGTGCTCTGATGGCATGTGGATCGCCAAGGATGTGGCGGCGTTGGCAGTGCTGGATGGCCACAGCAAGCCGCCGTGGCGCCTTGGCTTCGAGGGCTGTCTTCCTTTACGCGAGCTTGCAACTTTCAGAGTTTCTTCATGTACCCTTCCGACTTCCTCCCACCAACATAGCATTTGTGGGATGGTACCTGGAAGATCATTTTTTCTTGGCAAGGACCCCCTGCCAGGCGCCATGTTAGTGGGAGGGAGGGTACTCATTGTGCTTTTCAATTCATACAGGTTGCCTATCCCATCCCACCATCTTTTGACATGCAGCCCAACACATGTGCCTGATTCCTGCTTCCCTGTCAGCATGCTATCCAACGGACGTTTTCCAAAAGGGTTTGTGGGCAGTTTCATTCCAGTGCCTGTTTGCCCCTCCAGGGATGCGGAGGGCCGCATTCGGCGCTGCACCTGGCCGACCGACCACCTTCTGACCTTGGCAGTGACCCTGCGGAGTCGAGCTCAGGGACAGACATGTGTCAACGTCTTGGACGGAAAGCTTGCTTGTTGCTTAGCTTGTCACATGTCTTTCTTATTTTTTGGGAGTGGAATCTGGGGACATTCACTAGGCGTGTAATGAACTGATATCAGACAATCGCAGACTTGTTGACTCTGCTTGCGCGGGTCTGTCTTTTTGGCTTTGCTACCCCGTTTTTTGTGGTTTGGACCACCATTCTTTGCTGCCGGTGACGAGGTACTGCAGCGACGGCAGGAAGACTTATTTGAACTGGCCAACTTGTGCATGCAGTAGGCATGAACGCTTGTTTCACGGTATCCGCTTGATTGATCCACAATTTCTTATGAACTCCTAGATTCCGTTGATTCCTTTGGAATTGTGAAATGTGACTAGTGCGAGCTTTTGGGCAGCTCGTGCTTCACTTCGAAAAAAAGAAGAGCATCATCTCATGCAGCGTCTAGTTTATGTGATGGCAGAAAGCTCATTGGGTCACCAAATGATTCTCCGTGATCAAAGGAAAACACCTGCATGTATTTTGTCTTAGAAGTCAAAGAAGAAAAAGAGGGCTTTCGATCTAGCTGGTGGTCAATCCCATGACTTGTGTGTTGTTTGATTGCATTTTTTCGAGGACATGGACTACGACCTTGCTTGCTAAGATTGATATTTGTATACTTGTCAATGTCCGCGCGGTGTCTCCCCAGACTTGCTTGGGCCAAGTCAAAGTGCAAATGCCTTTTAGTGGCTTCATGTATTCAGTGATGATATTCCAGTCCTGCCCACAGAACATGCTGACTGTCATACAACCATGGTTGTCAGGTAGGAAGAGTGACCATTTTAATGGTCATCACACACTTGGACGTCAATATGAATTGCTTCTTAGTTTGCTGCCCGCTGCAAGGAAAGTGACAGAACAAAATACACCCGTTTTGAGAGATGGGAGACACCGCTGTATCACCATCTGCCCGGCAGATGCGTCTGAGGGATGGCGGTGTTGAAGTGGTGAAATGACCCGAGGCACAAGCGGTTGTATAATGCATACATACATACATATATATATATATATATATTTATTTTGTTAATTATGTGACTTGTTTTTTTTCATTGGGGAGGCAACCTGGTGGTTTTCCTGTTGGTTTCCCTTTACAGTCATCCACAAGAGGGTTCTCCAAAATAGGCACACCTAGCATTGCTTGGGCTTGCGGTTTGCGAGTTTTGGGCAGCAATCCCGAAGCTGACCAAGAGACCTCGTCACCTCGTACCACTTCAAGTATGTCCTACCCTCCGGAACCGGCTGCAGGTTGCCATGTGGGTTTTTGGCTAGCCATTGCAGCGAATCGCGCAGAATTCGTTGAGCATGAGTGGCAAAAGGCCTGGAGGTCCAGCAACGAAGCCTGCAGCTGTTTGCATTGCCTCCAGTGGTTCGCACTGCTGCCTTTTCAGTTTTTGTTTCTCCCCTTGGGCTCAGAAACTTTCGGCAGCAACCAGCCGACTGAATGAGATTGCCCAGCCAGCCGATTTCAGGATTGATTGCAAGCGCGTTCCTGGATGGTGCAGTATTGAAGCAGAGCCGTTGCAAGTGTGGCACACACGTCTTGTTCAAACACAACCACTCACAAATGGCGGGCGTTGATTCTAAGCCGACACGCCTAAAAGCATCGTTGCATCCGATTTATGCTAGAATGCTACCTATTTGCAGTGCTGCCACGGGATTTTGCAGCCCCCTTGGCTCAAGCGGCTAGGCGGACAGGTCCATGCAGGCGTGCTGCCCAACAGACCGGCCTGAAGTCTGTGGCTGAGTATCACAAGAGGCGTATTGAGAAAAATAATTCTGATGAACACGTTTTGCTTGGAAATGAGAAAGGGAGGTGGTCCCTGGCTTTTATACTTTTCAATTGGCCATTTACTCGGCTGGAACGCGTAGAAGGATCCACGCACTAACAGATCCTCCTTTTTTCCCTGTGGCTGATGAGTGATGACGAGAGGCTTATTGAGGACCGGGATTCTGATAGTTGGTTGCGGGAGAATGGAGGTGTGGCAGGCCACAGCAAAAGTAAAGAAGATGTCAACTTGCCTCCATCACTTGCTCATAGCTTGACACAGGTTGAGGTTTCGATGCATACCAGCGTGCTTCTTGCATCTCCAGTGACAACTTGTCAACTTGTGTTTTATTGCCTCGTTTCTTGTTGTTCATGTTGCTCTTGCATTCGTTGTTGGTGCTGTTGCACTTGTGTTGATGTGCAGCACGGCAGTTCTGCGCATGACCAAAACGCAAAAGATCGGAACGTGATTCGATTTCCTGGAAACCGCCATGACATGTGAGGGCAAGTCAAGGTGCCCCAAAAGGAGATTCCTCCGACAATGGATGTTTATCAGGTTCCATGTTGATCTGGAGGTTACTTGGTGGTCCGTGCAGTGGGAATGCAAGCTTTCATCAACCCAGTTGCCAGCGGCGCTGTTTTTTCCGTTTGGTAGTGATTCCGTGAACGTAACAGAAACAACAAGTTATTTCATGTCAAGTAGGAATCCCAGCCCGGCAAAAATGTCCTTTCTCGTCAATTATTTTGACTGGCTTCATGTTTTTAAGTATCTAGGTCCCCCCCAGGCGTGCCCTTTTACCCTTTTTTGGTTGGGAGGGTTCCCCTACTAAAATAGACTACGGAAAAGAGGGACCCTTATTCTAACCTCTCTACTGGAGGACCTAGGTAATGCATCGCAGGCTTTTGCTGCTAATCCCTCACCGGTGTTCGGACCAAGAGGACAGGGCCTAGGCACAAGTGCCAACTAGGTGGACCTCCCAACAATTGAGCACTCAATAGTTGTTTTGGTCAATATGTCGCTTGAAAACCACAAAGAAGGGTACCCTTAAAAGAAAAACAGGCCCACAAAACAATTCGAGTGAAGGGGTATTCCGTGTTGCCATTTTTTTTGTCAATTCAGAGGGGTGTTTGCCTTTTCGCCGCCACAGGAGTCTGAACCAGCGCCAGTGTCTTCATGTTGGAGGAGGCCACATTGCTGTCTTCCTCGGTTGACTGTCCATTAATGTTTCTGTTTGTTCCACTGGCTGGCTTGACGCGTGGTACTCACACTTTTATCTATGTAATGTGCACGCTTGAAAGGATTTGGCGGCCCAGCTATGGTGCTTGAAAGTGTACGAATAAGAACCAACCGTTTTTACTCATGCCCGGCAGTGGAGCATGCAGAACCCCGGTCTGGGGAACAGCATTGGAGGTCGGAACCCTTTTTTGGGTTCCATGTTAGGAGCAGCGGTCTGGAAGAACCCGGAAAAGGAAGTGAGTCCACATTGCAGTCGCATCCGGTCGGCCGGGGGTGTAAGCTGGAAGTCAACTTTTCACCACTTGGGTCAATGTGGGGAGGCCATGAAGATGGGACATTTGGCACTGGGCATTTGTCCAGGTACAAAGTCAGGGGCGATCATCCTTAGCCAAGACAATATGTTCGCCGATAGGAAGCAATCCGTGGTGTCCAACTTGTCCACCAGATGTGTCCTATAGCCTCAACTCAAAGGCACCCAATCCCACGATTGTTTCAGATGCCATTTGCAGGTCGTTGTGCGCGCTGGTTGAAGCACAGCACCATGTGTTGACGATTCGGTGTGGATGGAACACATCAATGTTTATGCCTAGCGAAAGAGGACTAGCTCGAATAGGAAGGCAGCTCCACAGGAACAAACATCAAAGTCCTAAGCACATCTGGAGAGTTCAGAACGGCTTCTGTTCATTTAAAGTGTCAGCCAGTTTGATGCAAGACGTATTTTTGGGGGATTACCGCTGATCGTTCGTGAGGCTTGCCGAGCTGCTCAGCGGGAAAGATTAGTCCTGATGCTTCCGTATTTGCCATCATCTATCCGTCCGTCCGTCCGTCCATCCACGCAGCCACCCAGCCACCCACACACCCAGCCACCCGCTCACTGACCCAGCCACCCAGCCACCCAGCCACCCACCCGCAAACCCATCCACCCACAAACCAACCCACCCACCCACAAACCCACCCACCCACAACCCACAAACCCACGAGCCCGCAAACTCACAAACCCACCCACCCACAAACCCACAAACCCACACCCCACACACCCACCCCACCCACCCGACCCACCCCGCCCACCCCACCCACCCCACACACCCACCCCACCCACCCCACCCACCCCACCCACCCCACCCACCCCACCCCACCCCATCCCACCCCATCGACCCACCCCATCCATCCATCCATCCATCCGTCCATCCATCCATCAATCCAATCCAATCCATCCATCAATCCAATCCAATCCAATCCAATCCAATCCAATCCAATCCAATCCAATCCAATCCAATCCAATCCAATCCAATCCAATCCAATCCAATCCAATCCATCCATCGATCCATCCATCCATCCAATCCAATCCAATCCAATCCAATCCAATCCAATCCAATCCAATCCAATCCAATCCAATCCATCCATCCATCCATCCAGAGATTCTTCCCTAAACTCATCTCAACCTTTAGTGACTGGACTGTTTGGATTTCAGGTTTGTTGATTTCAACCTCAATTGTCGCGCAAATCAATCCAGAATAATTCCCCAAGCCTCCCAAGCACCAATCCAAGCCACCAACTGGGGAGCTGATGAACACGCCCTGTTCTGAGAGCCGAAGAAGCTGCAGAGGCGCTTTGCCCTCCTAGCCCCGCTTCTTTTGGCCCCCTTCGCTGCCTGAAGCTTAGACGATGGAGTCGAGGTCCATTGTCGCGTTCGTCCCTATGATCGAAGCGTCAGGCAGTGGACTCGCCTATATACCACATGCCAAGGCTCAAGGGAGAACGTCGCTGAGAAGTACTCAAAGAAAGGGCAGAGTCAGATCCACAACGTTTGTCATAGGTTGTCCTCTATGTCAACTTGCTGGCGCTAGTTATATGTGCAGTAGGGTGATATATGATGCTTATATTGTTCGTGGCTCCCATCTCTTGAATTGTGACATATTGTGACCACAGTTTGTGCACCAAACCACGGTTTTGTGTGCAATGGGAAACGCACGTCCGCTTTCAATTTGCTCACATGAGCTGAGGCAAGCAATTGTCTGGCATTTCACAAATGAAGATCACTCTGTCAGTCATGTCTGAGGCCGTTCCGCTTCTTGCCAGAAGGCAGGAGAGGCGTGGATTGGGGAACTCAAGCAGAGCACAAGCATATATGCCAAACAAAAGCTCGGTTTGATTGCTGCCTGGAATGCGAGGAATGCACATTTTGTTGAAACCTTTCAGCAGAGCCACTTTTCCCTTGCCATGCTGATGTTACGTGTGTTCAACATTTGGAAGGCAAGGCCATGTCTTGTCCACATGACATGAGGAAATCTCGTGGAAGCATACTTAGCACAGTCGCCCGCAGCCCATGCCTTCCCTAATCAGATAGCATTCCTGGGTCAGCTTCACTCACAGCTTGAACAAGTTTGTCTATGGCAAGGAGACACAGGATGACTGCAACCAATGCTTGTGCAACAACAGCTAATTAGAGATGTATAGCTTGTCAACGTGCAATGGTGGCTTCCCACTGTGCATGGCTGCGACATAAGCTAAATGAGGCCTTTCAGCAGCCAGCTCACTTCACGGAATCCAATGGGATAAAAGTTGTGTTTGTAGAACAACTCACTTGGCTTTGTTGAGCGCCCGGTCCCTGAAGTTGTGTTGCAACTGAAGTTGCAACCAAATTCGAGAGCACATACGTCTTCCATGGTTGCACCGGTGTGCGCGTGTTTATCTGTTTAAAAAGGTATGCTGCGCTGCAGCGTGAATAGCATGTAAAACCGCCAACCAACATGAAGCAGGCATGGCACACCCTCATTAAATGCAGTGTTAGCACTCAGTTGGTTGAGTTGAAGTTGGTTTGTTCGCTGTTCGCTTGCAAGGTAATGCTTCAACATGACACCGAGATAACTTATCTCGAAGAAGGTGGGATTCGCCGATCACACACACACAAACATACCACACACACACATCTCGAGAGCAGCCATTGAACTCAGCGACCACCTGCTGACGTCCTCGTCCGGTACGGTGAAATCATCCTTGGGGTTACGTGGCCTGCAAAGCTTAGACCATCACAAGGCTTCCGTCTATGAATGTGCTCACTTTCCTTTTTAGTCGGAAAGACAGGAACACCAGGCGAGTTTGTTTTCTAGTGGATTCTACAGGTTGTAAGTAAGGAGCAAAGTGCTCCATGGTTCTGCTTAACATCTAGCTTTCTGCTTCCACAGTGCTTGCAGGTCTACGACTGACAAAGGCAAGATTTAGTAACTAAGAAAAAGGGGAGAACCACAAAGTAAACAAGTAATTGGAGGTCTATCTCAGGAACCGCAAGATGAGATCCGGAAAACCCGAGTGACGCAAAGTATCACACCAAGCCCAAAACTGGAACTTTTTCAGGGCAGAGCTGACGGACATCGTGGAGCTTGCACCCAAGGGCATTTACCCGCTTCTCCGGCCGAGCGCTGAGATGCTGCGTTTTTTCTCGGGATGTCATGCGTCTTTTTCGGTGTGTCCCAAAGTACGTGGAGCCCGATGAATGGGAAGGGATGAAAAGCCCGCGCGGACTGGGAAGGTGTGAATCTGCCAGCACCTAGAGGATTCCACACAGACAGTACTGTATACTTTGGCCTCGGCCTTTTGCCATGGTGTCATGGGAGCATGGAGCGGCAAGGGGTTGGCATCTGACGTGCGTGAGGTTGTGTTTTGGATGGCGCAACGTGCTACATCCCACCCCCTAAATCAGCCTTAGAGGGCTTTTTTGTCCGACCACAATAGTTTCAATGTGTTTTTTGTTTCTCAAAATGGATGTGCTTTGCAAGGGTACCCTTTCAGCTTGCTTGAAAGGGAAAATACATTTCAAAGGACACATGCCAGTTGAGTGGGTTTTCCTTATTTGTACTCAAATAGGGGGAAGCCAACTAGACAAATGGAACTCGTCCGGACTTATTGTGAAGCCTCTCGCCTCTGTTGGGTGGGAAAGCAGGTCGGAACAGAAGGTTTTTGATTGTACTACCGAGGTTATGAGGGTCCAAAGGTGGATCAGAAGTGAATCGGTGTTTGTCTTTGTTTTAGGGGAGCCCCCGAGAATAGTGGACTTCCTTTTGGTTCTTTTTGAAAGCAAAACCCAAAACAGTACCCTCGAACAAAGACACGCCTAGGTGTTTGGTAGACTTGCATCAAGTGAATCATGCTGGCAGCTTGCCGGCATGAGCCGCCACTCGGCTTGGGCGTTGTTTAAGAAGCGGAGGACGTTTTTCTGTCGAACGCTTGGTGTAGAATCCTTAACATCTTCGGGTGTGAGCCCAGTTCGTGCTTACAGCAGAGTCGGGCGTTGGACGCGGTATTGCGCTACAGTAGCAGGTAGGTAAGCTGCGATTTGTGCTTCATGCCATTTTTTGTCTTTTTTTTGAGGGCACCCCCTTTGGTTTTTAAATGGAAGCCAAAGAGAAAGCCACCAGTTTGGAGGGTCCCCTAAATATGGCACTTCTGTGCAGTGATTTCGCAGGGTAAGAAGACTGGACGTATGGCAGTCACTGACACCTGCGTAAGAAGCCCTGAGGGGTGGCGTGGCTGTCTATGGCGAAGAGGATCAGGACGGGATCGAAAGCTCTATCGCCCACTGTGTGAAGCCAGGGCTCTGCAATGTGTTTGGTGAGTTGCGGTTGTAGTTGTAGCCTGTTTTCGAGCGCACTGGTATTTTGCTTCAACTGAGTGCCCCCGACTAAAGGAACCCCTGGGATGCAGATTTGTTGCGGATATCAAGGGCCGCAGAGCATCTCACAAAGTCTCAGAAAGACATGGCCCGGCTTGGGTGTTGTTGTTCTTTTGGAGGCTGCCTTTGCCCTTTTTGGTTTTGTTTAGGGAAAAAAACAGGAACGTCGCCATTTTGGGGGTTCCCTATGTCACATACCCATATTGACAAGTGTGACCAACTGTCCGTATGACAGCTGTGAGACTTAAGATGTGCCAGAAGTTCTCCGAAGCCTCCGCGAGAGTTTTAAGCGCGCGTGCGCCGAGCCGCGATGAAATCTGAGCCAACCTGAGTCCAAGAGGAACACCCATACTGCACGGATCTCTGGGTGTATTCCACGGCCCAATACCTTTTCCATCATGGCTTCAGGGTCATATTTCCGGTTCCTTTTTGCAGCTTCGCTCTGGCTAGTTGGCCGCAGGACAAAGCCATTTGTGTGGGAAACATCCTCAGCGCTGGCGCGTGGCTCTCTGGTGGCCTGCTAAAGGCTGGGAACCACGGCATCCCCAATTTGCCATAGCCATGCCCCATGTTTTGAGGATGTGCAGTGTTTGTGTTTTGTTTGTTTTGTCAGCACTATTTACAACATTGCTTTGTTTGTGAATGGCTGGTTGCTGCATCAAGATGGTTTCAACATTGGACGTGCTTGTATCGTTGTGTATGTTATATGTTTATGACATATATATATATATATATATATATTATAGATATATACATGTAAGCCATACATGCATACATATTATGTATATGCATACACAATCTAGACTGAAGGCGGGCAACCATGGCTCGGAGACCGAGACTGGTTGGACACTCCCTGTGAATGATCTACTTCGGATTCTATCGATGATCACGCTTGTCTTGGTTGAGCTTGACTGAGTTGCAAGTTGCAGACACTGTCACTTGTCAGGAACATGTTTTCCACGGCAAAACATGGTTCAAGAGCCCCAGGTGAGATGCGTTCGCCTGAGTGCTTTGGGACCGGCTAACCAAACTGCTCTTGTTTTGTGGCTGGTCGCAAGACAAAAGAGCATGTTTACTTGTGAGGCTGAGAGACTTTGCGAGCATAGGGTTTTGCCGGTGCGAAAGCGTGCAAGTTCTGCGTATGAATTCCCAGTCGATCGCAGCTGCCTTTCAGGCCACGTGGGACGTCACCCAGCAGCAAAACAATTAGTTGGCTTCACGGGCGGGACAGAGGGGTTCCCCAGACGAAAGTAGTCTTCCAGATTGTTGCTGTTTGCTTCCATTATTTTTAGGGAGGGTACCTATGAAATGCGAATCGCGCAATGTTGTGCAAGGACCTGGCCAAATATACCTCAGGTCATGAACCAGAATCGTCACAAGTACATGGCACCCACGTGCAACTTCCCAGCCGGCAGACAATATCTGATTGCAGTGAGAATTTTGGGAAACGTTCATATTCCAACTTGCCCTACCGAACAGCACTTTCAATGCTCGAGAAACGCAGGGAAATTCATTTCCCGCAGCAAGTCTATCCACTCCTTTGTGTGATTCAGAGAACAATGTCATCAATATATGTGCTATATCGCCCTTCGGGTGGCACATTGAACCAAAATGCATCTTGCATGAGAACGAGCAACAGCTGAAGCAAAAAGCTCATAGAAATCCGCAAGATCTTGCCATTACTTTAGACTGATTTCGGTGACGTCTTCCAGCATTGCCGCAAAGTTGCCAAATACCCGGTATTATAGTCGGTCACCAACACAGGTGAGCGCATGGTTTCCGAAGCGTCGCCCTGCCCAAAGCATTGCCCAACAACTTGTGAGTGCGGTATATGGTTCTCAAAAGGTTTGACAACTCCATTCTGCTGGGCAGATGTTGGTCAAGGAAAAAGCAAGTGAGCCCAAGTCGCACATACGGTCATCAATTTTGATGCGGCCTTTCGGGACGCGCAGGTGACAGGGGCGGTGCAAGACTGTGATTCTTCAAATTTTGGAGGCGCGCAGAGCATGGACCTCGGGCTTCCTTTGTACAACAAAGTCGGGTCTCGGGCGACGTTTGGCATGTGTCGGACATTCTGACCGTTTGGTGTCCTCTTGGTTTGCTTCTTGCCATTCCACATAGCAATGGGACGCTGCAAATGGTCCCAGTGAGCTATGCTCCATTTTGGTGGTGTGATGGGCTGCTTTGTGCTGTTGCAGTGTTTGACGGGAAGGGCATGCCATGTTGCTGCAAAGTTGCGATTGTCGAGCGGGAGCTGCGGATGTGTAACAAAGTTGTGAATTTCGGGCTGAAGCTGCCAAGGTATATAAGCGTGCTTCCTGTATACTACAAAGTTGCGACTTTCGAGCCGCAGCCAGAGTGCACTGAACCCTAAGAAACCCAATATGGTCGACAATCAAAAACTATGCCTCCATTAGAGTGTCCTTTGCGGCGTAGATCCCACATCTGGGGGTCAGTCAAGTGACTCTGCTGATTCTCAAAGATACTGTTGGGCTTCATGTAAAGTACAGTTTTGAGAGTGCAATCTGCCATGGAGCCAGTGCAATTCGTGATGGCAGATTGTGGAGCTCATATTGGCAGCGTTTGGCCCTTGTGCTTAGGTATTTGGCAGCTCAGACTGGTGATTCTTTTCAACTCATCGTACTGCTGAACGTGAGACTTTGAATGTACATCTTGCTAGGTGATGGTTGCCAATATCAATATAGCCAACACGACCCATTTTTCGTGGATCGTGGCATGGTTGCTTTTGTTTGTCCGGCCTCTTTGGGCGGTGTTCATGTGCCAGGTTGTGATTTCTTGCAACGCAAGCCGAGTTGGACGCCTAGTTTCTAGCTCGAAGCCATCAGCCCACGTCCGATTGCGGGCGTTTCTGGCCAGGTACTGCAGAGACATCAGCGGTGAGCTGAGAACCAGGAAGATGTGGATGTGTTTTTTGTTTTTTCCTCGACCCCCCCCAAAATGGCTTCGGTATTCTTGACGGTTCTCCTTTTCCCCCGAACAGACACATCCATGTCCGAGAGAATGTCTCCCCAGAGATCCTTTTGCCGAGATTTACCAGTTCATTTTGTAAGTACCCGGAGCTAGGCGCGTTGAAGTTTCCCGGGGCCACTAAATCGTGCGTAGCATGTTTTGAGATGAATGGCATGGCATGCTAGTTGCATTGACAATCACCAGACACTCCTTCCCCAATCTAATTTTGAAGGCAACGCGGTCCAACTGGGTTTGTTGTTTGTTTTTGGAGGCGCGCTCAAGAGCTGCCTTCAGTGATAGTCACTGTCATAATCAGTCTCACACCAAGCGAATGTTTGCAGATGTTGTGTTTTGTTTGTTGGTGTGTGTGGTTGTCTTCATTGATCCCCTTAGCCGTGTGGAAGGAAGGTGGTTTTAGTTTCTCCTGGCAGCCCTCTAGCATTTGGATGCATGGGATCCAACAAAAAATTGAACTTGTTGCCTGCGACTGGCGTGCTGAAAGCGAGTCTTCGCTTGGACAAGCCGAGGCGATCAAGATGAAATGGTAGCAACATCACGTTGCGGCTACCTCCATGAAGACGCGGTTGCTTGCAAATGAGCAATTAAGAGTGAGACTTGACTGTGGCTCAATTCCTTAAGAGGGGTGAATCTTGATAATTAACTAGCCCAGACCGAACGTTGCCAGATGTTGCCAGACTGTATTAGTTCATATACGGACTGTTTCATGCTTGAGGATCGGGTAAGTTAATACAGAGTCTAAGTGCATGTCGGTGCAGGATGCACATGTTTGTACACATCTAGAAAACTCCCCTTAGAGTTAGAGTCAACCTATCCGAACGAACTTCATGTTATTTGCCCGCCGAATGCCGCTCTGAATTACGTTCACCAGTGTTGATTGCATGCTCGCATCATCGGAAACATATCAGAACAGCAACACATGCGCAAATATCATCACCCACCATTTCGGACACTGTAGCTGTCGCCTTCCAGACCGGTTGCTCAATCATTCTTGTGGTTCGTGTGTCTTTTTGTTGAGGGTACACTTTGTTTTTTTCTGGTTTTAAAAGGACCCCAAAACGAACCCCGAACTGCACTTTGGGGGCCTAGTTAAAAAGACACCTGGTGGTCTCAATTCCCTAAACCTTCCCAATCTCCTTCCATGTCCCCAGCCAAGCCACGCCGAGTGCTGTTGACTGGTAGCCGTCGAGAGGTTGGCTCCAGGGTTTCCAGGCCTCAGGGAAGCGGTTCTCAGCGAATCGTCCGGCTCCGTAGGTTTTAGGTTTTAGTTGGTTTTGTGGGGGGTTGCAGTTAAGCCACTAAAAGTTAAACTTTTATCAAAGATCTGAGGACAGCCCCAAGTTCGTAAGTGGGTGTTAATTATTTTGCAAGTTCGCCACAAGCAGCCATGCGAACCCCATTCTGATCTACCTTCCCGTCCCAAGAATCATAGCCTGTGAGTTGGCGACCAGTTGACCAGATCTCCGGCAAGGGTTGGCCGAGGGGCTGAGCCGGAGTGTCCCAAGGTCTCCGTCAACATCTCTGCAATGCCGGGGCTCAACGCTCGGTTGCAGTGCTGGATTCAATGTATATGAATCGGCAGGTGTAAAAGGGGCTGGATTCAAGTGTAATGGGTGCATGGGAACGAAGGAAGAGCATAATGATGTTGGGATGCGCACACAAGTACATGCTTATATATATATATATACATACGTACATACACATGCAGACCAATGCTACCTTTGCTGACATTTACTGTAGTCTGAGCCACGTGGTTGCGAATGTTCCATGTGACATATGGGTGCCTGCAACTCTCAGGAGCTTCGCGGGATATTGGTCAAGGCTTTGTCATGGGTGGACTCCGCCTGCCTACCCTTGCGATTGCAGCCATGGTGTTCGCGTATATGCTTGATTTAATCGCTTTTGCACGTGGTATGCGGTATGCACGAGGAAATTCCCATTCGCGGCAATGGTACACATGTGCACAGCGACCACGCACCAGCGCGCTTTATGCCTTGTTTTCTCACAAGGTATTGGAACGGAAACATAGATGCAGGATTGCGTTGCATGTCTTTCAGACATGGCCAGAATGATTGCCCAAGCAGAATTCATGACGCAGGCAGGCAGAGAATGGACAAAGGGGTGCGGCGCATTGAGGCTGGCGCCGATTGCAATAGAGATGTGATAGCTAGCCAGAGCACAAGGTGCTTGTATATTTGTGTCAGCATGCTTCACTGAGTCGCATGTTTGCCAGCTAGGAGCACAAGCTGCAGGATGGATGTTTATGCAGAGTGAAGGTAGTTGCCATGTTTCTTTGTACTGTAGCATGTAAGACCCACCAATGCAGCATATGGAATTGGATCAATTTCACCCGTGGCATGTTGGGCATGATGTGTCGAAGCAATTGTGTTGAACAATTCACTTATGTTGGTACGTCGAATCTTAGTTTGTTTGATTGCTGAACCCTAGGATGGCCCTGTCAGCCGACGGAACGTTTTGACTTTATGCAACACATCAGCTTGCATTCCACATCCTGACCCTTATATCAGGTATGGTCAGTATCTTTCAGCACCTCATTTTTGCGACAACTCTTAACATAGATAGATGACAACGCCCAGCACATTGAAATCCAATAACATGCACGTATTGCTGGTGGCCATTGGGGGCTTTTGTCATTTAAAGGGAAACCAGAGGGAAACCAACCATTTGAGGGGAGCCAAATTTTTGGAAACGCCTATTATGATATATGGAAACACCTAAATTAGTTCATATTTTGGACCCCGTTGGTCATCAAAAAGGGAAACCGTTGCCATGTTAAATCCCAATTTTCAGAAATTTTACATTGCCTGACTCAGGCTTTGCGCGCGCAACATCGCGGGTGCCATCCGGGACTTTTCCACCACTGCGCTGCGCCTTGGAGAAGGAAGCAAACTCGGATGGCTCGACCTCTTTTCCGCGCCTGAGTGGCAGTTTCAAATTGCGAAGGCCGCGTTATTTGTTATGTTGCGGCCGTGTTATTTGTTTGCGGGGTTGTTCTCTTCAGTTTGGGCACCATTGTTCTGTTCAACACCATCGGTCTATTACCTTCTTGTTGCTTTTGATGACCTCCTTGTTGTGTTTGGATGTTTTTTTGTTGAATTGTGCATATCTATACCATGGATGGACAAAATCCATTTCGCACCACCTTGACTCCATGGTTGAAACCATGGTTTGTTGGTATGTACAGGAGAATCATCGCCCCAGGGTTTCTTAGGTAGCACGGTAAAAGTTCTGAACGCGCGTGAGGAGCTCCACACAGGCCGAATGACCCCAATCCACGTCCCCAATCCTTTTAGTTTTTTTGCTGTGCTGGTGAAGGTTTAGGTGAGGTTCAAAGTTGAGGACACATCGCAAAAAAGAGCTCCGCAAGATGCCCCTCACCGGAGATTTGAGTTTGCAGTTTCGACGGGATTATGTTGACCAAGCTGTGTCAAACAGTTTGAGCATTTCGGTTGTTTCCCTCCAAGCTACCACTTGGGTTGATGAAACAACCTGATGATGCCACATGTAATCGCGTGGGCTGAGTGGCGTGTTGTTTCCAGATGGACACTGTCTTGCAATGCTCAAATTAAAGACGATGGTTAGTTGCGGCAACATCAGGGGTCTTCCGAATCCATGTGTTTGGTGAATGTGAGATTCGGTAATTCTGTTCATTTCCAATATTTCAAGAGCTCCACTCCCCGAGGTTCCCATTTGGCTCATGTCTTCGGATGCGATCGCGAAGATTCGGGGATTCGATGGAGTGCTGAAGTGTTTCTCCGCTATGTTTCAAGCACCGAGGCAACATGAGCCTTCGCTCACTGGACTTTCTGGACTTTGGACTTTTCGGGACCATTTTAGTGGCGATTACGGCGATTACATTTGGCCAATCCGCACAAAGGAGTTAAACCGCGTGATGAAAAGCAGATGGTCGGATTGAGTGGCCTGTCTTTGCTTTCCCTGGCCACGGTGGTTTCCCGTTGGAGAAGGTTGAGTGAGGCAATGAACATCAGGCAATGATTGAAATCAGACCAAGAAAGATAAGCAGAACACACTTGGCCAAGAAAAGCGTTTCTGCGCCTGGACACAAATTAATCGATGGGAAGACCATAGAAGCCAATGGTTCAGCACAATAAACAAAATCCAGTTAATAACTTATGATTTGTTCTGAGGGCTGCTTCAACCACACCAAGCCCTGAGGAAGCTTCACCGCAAAGGAGCGAGCATGTTCGGCTCATGCCGAGGCTGCTCGAAGGTGCCGCCACTGCTTGCAACAAGGAGCGCATTGCAACGGCCTCGGCGTGTCAGCCACTTTCCTGAAGGGACGACGAGGCAATATGAGCCACAGACAACACCAGAGGTTTGAAAGGTCAGTCATTAAGGGGTGCATCCGCCCTTGTGTAACTTGTGTAGCTTGTGTATGTCCTTAATGATCGTGGCAATGTTTCGGGTGGAGTCCCTTGACACCAAGCTTTGGTTGTGGCTCTAAACCGGGAACTAACCGGCAGCAATTGTCAAGCACAATTGTTTGAAGATGTTCAAACCAACAGCAACGGAAAGTCTTGGTTGCGCTCTTCTAGAAACTGACCAATTTAATATTGGAATGCACATGGCGCAGACAAACAGCACAATGACATGCTGATTGACAAAGAGCTTCCTGAAAGTGAATCGATGACTCGACAAGTGTACATGTCCTTTCATACTACATGGACCATAATACCGTGTCATCGTCATCGTTGCTATCCTTGTTGCTTGGCTTGCTTTTGTTGATTGTTTGTTTGCTTCGTGGTTTCCGTTCTTCTCTGCTATGCTTGAGCTTGAAGGGCTGCTCGGCTTTTGAGCATGGCTGCCAGCATGGTTGCTGTCCTACAACTTTCAGTACCTGTGTACTTCACAGCAGCCTATATTTTGACATTGCACATATCCCGATGAACAACGGGCATCATTGTGGTGTTCTTTGTGGCGTGAGCTACTTTACACCGCCTTCAGGGCCGCCTTGGAGCGAGTTCTCCTGAAAAGGATTTGGCCACTTGGATTGCGGACGCTTATGGGTCCTCAGAAGGCTGCGAGGCGGCTGTTTGTTCTGTGACAGGCAGTTAATTATATGCAACATTTCGTCGACACCGCATGAGCATGTCCCATCTTGAAGAGGGGACGACCTGCGCAACAAGCGCCTGCTCTTCTCCATTGACAAGCTTTGGAGTTGAATACCTCAGATAGTCCCGCTGACAAACAAATGCAATTCAATCTGTCTATGTATCTATATACATATGTATCTGTATACATATGTAATATATATATATACATAGATGAACCGGACACTTCAAAGCATGTCGAGGTTCTGAACAAATCATGTGTTCAACCAGGCGTTGGGCGTCTCATGTTGGCCAACCAGAATCAAGTTCAAGATTTGGCTCTGAACAACGCAGAAGTAGCGTAAGAAACCCACCTCAGACAATATCAATGCATCTATCATGTGATGACACCTTTAGTTTGTCGTAGGCTGTATCTTCTTATCTGCTAAACATCCTTTGCCTTGTTTCTCACTAGATTTGCGGAGTTGCAAAACACTGCAACCTTTCTCTGGGCAACTCAACCGCCAGATCCAACGGATTGACTGTAGGCGGATATCAAGTGCATCACGGCTGTCACCAACTCGGTGCAGACCTTAGAGCTGCTTGGAGTACCTGTTTCTTTTCTTGGACCCTTCAGAAGTGGCGATGATTTCGATGGAAACCACCAGTCGATTGCAACTTTCTATTATTTCTATTTGGGGAAATCCAGGCACCCCTGCTTGCAGGATTTGACCATGATCAAGTTTCAGGTGCAACCAAGCAGTGTTGCACGCCCATTGAGGAACCTTGCTGAACCCGGTGTATATCGCCACGTGTTGCACTGCAGCTTGTTTAGTTGATGTTTGACTTGCGAGCTACCCGTATGTGATTGTGGTGCGTGCGAGGTATGTTGCCGCTGATGTTTGATGGCGCATTGTGGTTGATGCAGACTGCAAGTCGCACGATGTACACAATTTGTTCCTTGTTATTTGTTAAACGTTGTTGTATGTTGTGTATGTTGTGTAAGCTCTGAATGTCCCGTGCGCTGTGTAGTGTAGTTATTGTGTGTGTGTGTGTGTGTTGCGTTGTGTTGTGTGGTGTGGGTGTTTCATGTCGTGGATTGTGCATTCGGCTGTCTCCGTTTGCGTGTTGTCTGTGCCAACCTACTAACGTGGCGACTCGCAGCACGTCGCTCGTGTTTTTGGTTGGCACTAGGCTCTCGCCAGCTGTTTGCCACTTTCATGTTCCCTAGACATTGACATGGAACCCAAATACAGGGTCTTCCAAAAGGAGATCCCACTACAGATGAGGGTTTTTTTCTGGGCTCCACATGAATTTGCAGAGTACACGGTTTGAACTTCCTGATTTGCCTTGATTGCGAATCGGAGGTGCGCCAAGCTGGGCATTTGGCCCGGTTCTCCTCAGAGCTCTCCATCTTTTGCCCTGAGGACGCCTCGCCGGGAAGTGAAAAACCTGTGCCGTGGGTTTGAAACGGGAAGCGATGCACCTGTCACGGAAAAATAGAAGAACTTTTCCGAACGGGGCAGTTGTGTGACATGTCTGCCTCCCTTCGACGAGTCGCGCCCTGACCATGGACACATAATGAATTTGCACCAGTGCGCTCACTTAAAAGCACCTGCAGTTGCAAGACGTAAGTGAGGCCAACCTCAGCGGCAATTTCATTCTGCAGTGCGGGCTGTGGCCAAGTGGATAGAAAATCCACTGGAGCACGTCATTTTCATTTGAGGCCGTTGGATGCCTACGTCGAAAGTGATGTCCCTGGTTTGGGCCGCAAGTCAGGCCTCTATGTCAAACTGTTTTAATATGCACAAACATATCGGCGTCATTTGTGGGGTCAGTGGGCTCAGATGGGATGATCAGCTCCAGCTCCATTGCTGTGTAAAGCCGCAATCACGTACCACTTTGCCCAGTGGGGTCTTATGGAGTTGGTGTTGTTGATGTCCGATCTCTCGCATTGGGGGTGGGGAGTTGAGCACGGAGCAAGTCATGCCAAAGACAATTGTCGAGCGCAGTGCAACGTGTGCGGCCTGTCATTGACAGAATTTGGACGTGACGAGCCTCTACCTATGCATCAATCGTGTAGAAGGCCGGGCTCCGCATACTTGTCCCACGTTGTTCAGTATGATCCTCTGTAGAACCATGTATATCTATATATATATATATTAATTTGCTGTAGTGAAGCGAACGTAACGTATATGGCACCTTATGCACGGCTAGGGTGGAAGTGAGAATGGGGGAGTTCCTGCCGAAACTTCCTTTTACACCGAGTTCCATGTGAATGGTACGTGTTCATGTTCCAGTCTGAGCAGCAGGGTGCAACCAAGCAAAATAGCTTGAAGCTCTTTGCGCCTCAACTACTCCAACCCCAAGAAAGCCCGGTAGCGTACCGCCACTTTCGCAGCTGATACCACCACCTCCCATGATTTTGCTTCCGTGATCAAGACCCATGCGGCGACCTTCCCGTACAGATCCGCGCCACTCTCTCAAGACAACAGCCGTTGCCGCTTTGCCCACATCGTTGAGCAATGGCTGTGGGTCAAAACCAATGGAAGCCCATTATGGGGTAGGTGCACCACCCATTTTAGAACCTATTTCAGTGGGGATTGGGATGTTCACTGGGCGTACGGGATTTTGACCCATGGCCAACTCTAGCCTCAAACTCCAGCTTGCCAAAAGGGGGTTGCTAACCTTGAACGACCTTGCCGTGCGAAAGGCCCGCGACAGCGCCTCACCAACCAGGGCCTCAGTGCCCTGAATGGAGCGGACGGTGTCTGAGAGAGCGGTCGACCTGCGCGGTGACTTTGACGATCCATCGCCCGCCACTTTGGAGTTTTCACCCTCGAGCGCCTCCATGTCCAAGACTTCGTCGCGTCCAGTGCCCACAGTCGCAGATCGGCCGCGAACAGCCGCAAAGGCATCGCGCCCTCGACGTCGTCTTCGGAGATTCTGTGGCGTTTGTGACAAGCGCCGCGTCGGTGAGGCTCCCGCTTCAAAGAAGCAGCTGGAATTGACCTGCAAAGTAGTATTGCGATCCCACCACTTCTTCTTCCATCAAACCGTGGGCGCATTCAACCCGGCGAAGGGACTTCTAGACCTACGCGCGCGGCGAGCGTCCAGCAGCCCCTCCCTTCCCCGCCCCATTGCCCATCGGTCGCAGCGCCTGGCGAGCGATGTCGATTCTCTGCAGCTCTGGGAGCATCCAAGGGCGATCCTGCAAGAGCACTTTGGCTCCTGCACGTAGTACTTTTTGTTGCGTGACACCTTGAGGTCATCGAGATTGGATTGCGCCCCAGCTGCTGCTCAGATCAATCTAGTGACGAGCCGGAAAAGTAGCGGACAAGTTCCAGCCACAACTCTCAAGAAGCGAATGCAAAGTCGGACATCTTTAAACACCCTCGAACGCGATCTCACCATAGATCACGAGGAAGCTCACAAAAACAAGGAAGAATTGGCACTCAAGAAGTGGGGCAGCTGGGGCCCAGGTCGCACGAATTCATCTCATGCAAGCACTCGGCCTAGTCCCTACATTAGGGCTGGGTATCGCCGCTTGCTGAAGCTTTTATTCGGGGAAAAACCATCTCGGACCTAGTGGAGCACGCCGCGCGCCGCAGTCTGGCTTGGCTCCTCCAAAAAAGTTATTGCACGCATTCGTTGGCTTTTGCGTCGTCAGCGATACATTTGCCCTTAAATGGCGAGATCCCACCGCGTCCGTTCGAAAGCTGCGAGTGCTTGCCCACTTCAGGTCAGGGAGACCTTTGCGTTGCTTGGAACCGCATAGGAAGGAAGACATTTGATCTTTTGAAAGCTTGATCAATGTGGTACCGGAAACACAAGATCTTCAATTGCGGAGTAAGGCTCAGCTAGTTGAATCCTTGGACACCTTCCTGACAAATGTGATTGCCCATTCTCTTGCTGCCAAACATCCGACTTCCACTTGTTAAGCAGTTTTGGGCAATGCTTGAATGACTTCCCCCGAGCCGGGGGCCAGATGATCTGACATGAGCTGTTAGCGAGTTGCAGCTCACCCAGGGATTGCCTTTTGACTAGCATAACCCTTTTGGACCAGGTGCCGTTACTTCCCAACACGGGGTTTTAAAGGATATACCATATATACCTTATGGGTGTGTCCTTCGTGAAAATACTTTTGGATGGTGAGGGAGAGAGGGACAGCAAATGTCAAATGCTTAGTGACGTGATCTGTCAGGCGTGGGCTGGTCCGTGGATCCGCTGTGCCGCCCTCAACAAAAGGCCATCAGGCCTTTGGGCTGTTCCCGAATTTTGTTGGGTGTCTTGTTTGGGGGGGGACCCCCCCAAAAAAATATATATGGTGGATTTCCTGTTGGTTCCCTTTAAAACCACACAAAAACAAGGTACCCGCAAATTCGATGCAATCTGCTTGAAGCAACTCAGTTGTCCAAATTGCCGACCTTTTAACCTTTTGGTTTCCTGTTTTGGTCCACTTTTCGTTCAGGTCCCACAAGGTTCTAGGAAACCATTCAACATCATCCAACCTACTTGCAGTGTCCGGAAATTCGGCTCGACGGGTTTTGAGTCCATCTGCGTGAATGGAAAAACAATGTCCATTGGAGTTCCTGGAACTTTGGCCCCTGGCAATGGTCCCCAGACTCCCCGAAAAACAACTGTGATAACATATGCTTTTGCTTGTAGCTGGATTCTGTCAATGAGAATTATTCAAGCTGGAGGCGCTGGAAACATTAGCGCTACTCTTCTTGCATGTGCACTACTTTAGAGACTACACACGAACGTCGTGAAGCATCGTGCTACATGTTTGCTAGTTTGACAATTGCCTGGAAGCTAGTATGTTGACCCGTGTTTGCGTCATGACAATCAAAAGAATACTTGAGCTTGGATATTTTCCAGGAAAGACTGAGTGACATGCATAGTCACAACGGAAAGTTCCGGAGGTTTGTGCGGCAATACCAGAGCAAACGCGCCGAGTTGAGTCTTCAACGCAGGGTGAATGAATACCAAGGCAGTTTACATAACATCAGCTTCAAACCTGCGCTCGACAGACAGCCCTAGACATTCCATTCAAGGCCTGCGCGCGGCACCAGCTGGCTTGGTAAAGAAAAGCTTCGACCTAATTCAACAACAATATGTTGACGGGCTTTCCCCATTGGGTACGTTTGTCCACCCCGCGCAGATTGATGTTTGGCAGCATGTTTTTGGGGTGTGGTGTAATTTCGAAGCCCTCTTTGAATGGAATTCCGCACACCCAGCATCGCCATCATCACCGGCATCACCAGCGCGAGCTCCGACCCAAAAAAGGCACAAAGCCCTGCCCGCCAGAAGCAGAGAATGTAAGTGATGCTCGTCGTTTTACTCTGCAGCCGCATCCGGTCGGCAGCGTTGGGCGGCAAGGTGGTGCGCCTGCGATAACTTACAGCCATGTTGCAACACCCCAACTGAAAGATGCTTGGCGAAGGCAGCTCCCGTCAACATCCCCAGCATCCCGCATCACCACTCCAATGAGTCCAAGCTGGCAGTCCACAAGCCCACAAGCCCAAAAACGCACCTTCCAGAAGCAAATGATGTAGGTGATGCTCATCATTGTAGTTAGTCTTCACGGGGCTCCCACAGCATCAAGGTTTGGGAGCCTTGAAATGCTGAAAAACGCGTGGTTGTCGATGCTGAACATTAGAAAAAACATAACTATCATATAGCCATAATAAGGCTAGTCGAAGCTGCTTTGCTTGTCAGCTGGCCGAAGCTCGCCCTGTGCCTTGCAAAGACGCAGCCTGAGCTGGCAAAAACACTGCAGCGCGTTTGGCTGAATTCTGCGCTGCCCAAAACTTCAACGCGTTACAGCTAGACCTTGTCCGCTTGCACAGAACTGCGTCTCGCGGATCAGTTCCTTGCGCCGGGTTTGCTTCAAGGCCCTGCTTGGCTTCGAACATCTTAAGGAGAAAGAGCTAGCAGATATGAAGTTCAGCGTCGCGGTGCTGCCGCGCCGGTGTTGCGTCAGCAACGTAAATATAACGCCGCGTCCAACTGCACAACTTGTTTTGTCCAAACGACTACGGCAAAACCAAAAGAACGCAAGCCGCAAGACTCAATCAAACAAGGGCTAAACAAGGGCTTTAGGCGCATTCTTCACAGCTCCACATGTATCACCGATAGACTGATGCAACAGAGGCTTCAACAGTAGTATTCGCTTCAAACCCAGGAGAAGTTCTAACAAGCAGCAGCACTGAGCACATAAAGGATAGACTCGACATTACGGGGGTCATGTTGTCGTTGGGCTATGTTGGGCATGCACAACCGCCAGAGCCAGAGCATCGGTAAGCTCCAGGCATTCAAACATGCGATTTTACATGTATTTCCTGCGGCCACCGGCACGCAGAGCTTGACACGGATTTTTCCGAGCTTGTGTTGCTTTAGATAAAGACTCATCCACAAGGCTGAGCTTGGCAGAGTCCTCAGTCGCAAAGGTATTCTTGGGCAACCCGCTGCATAATTAGCAGATTGTATTGTTTTTTCGAGTCCATCGTGGCTGCTGAACACATGGCAGGAACAGGTTGCGAAAACACTGGCGGCACCTACCCCCCTTTGACAGGGAGAGTGCGCACGCTGAAGCCACGGTCTAGCTCATATATCGCCAGAGTTTGCAGTGTCCTGTTGAAAGCTGCACTCTGCTGCAAGGCTTGGAAGCATCGCAGCTTCGGCGAGGCTTTGTGTCCGCTGGCTGCAAGCAGAAGTCCACCAAGTTAATGTAGGTTGTCCTCCGGCTATAAAGAATTGCATACACCACACATGCGCAAATGGTCGAATGAGTTGTCGCTTGCTTTGCGCAGCACATTTATGCACAGGTACCACCTGATCAGGCCGCAAAGCCTGTTCCAAGGAGGTGACATGGTGAGGTGATTTTGGCATGGAACAAACGTTCCCGTACACAATGGAATGGCAAAGACGTGGAGCAACTGCCATTTGCAGACCAGTCCCGTTGGATTGTAATATATGGGCAACAATCTCAACTTTTGTCGGTTTTAGAGCAGCGGGCTGGTTTCTTGCGCGAATGCTCGTTATTGTATCGGTACACGACATATCGTGTAAGCTCTGAGTCACATTAACGTGCAGCGCCAATGACGCGAGCGATGTATGCGCTACATCATTGAAGACTCAATGCAGGACACTCTCAATATATATATTTTGCGCCATCTGATGTTCGTCCCGAAGCTGCCTCTCGCTCTCTCTCTCTCTCTCTCTCTCGTTCTCTTCCTCTTTCTCTTTCTCTTTCTTTTCCTCTTTCTCTTTCGCTTTCTCTTTCTCTTTCTCTTTCTCTCTCTCTCACTCTTTCTCTCTTTCGTGACGCTCTGACTGGCTGGTGAATGATGAATGCTGAGACGCAGTCGTTTGTTTCGCCGTTCCAGTTCCGCTGCGTTTGCAAGAGAGTTCAACAGCCCAAGAGACCCTGCAGAGATTCAGGTAACCATGGTAACCCTTAGTGGGTTTGTTTGGATTTGATGTTTTCTTGTAGAGGGCACATGGGAAACCCTCCAAACCGAAAACCGGCCGCCGGACGTCCGTGAGCCGAGGGCGCGGAAGGCAAGCCGCCCAAAGAGGACGTGGGCGCCTGCGTGGGGGAAATCCTCGGCGCAGCGGCCTTCGCGGGGGATCTCAGACCAGACCGGAGGTTAGGAGCTGTCGTCATGTTGGGGACTCAAACAAAAATTGCGTCAACAAATCGGGGACCCCAACACAAAGATGTGGCGCCCTTTTCACCGTCACCTGTAAAACACGCATACCCAGAAGGCAGCAAGTGCGTGTCACCCTGGCGACGGATCGCAAGGTGGGTGGCCCGTTGGGTACGACGGGGACACCCCACTTGTTGACATGCATCTGGCGTCCGACTGTACTTCGGAGTGAATTCCCGAACGGACATAGAGAATGGTTGTGTGATAAAGCAACCATAACTTTTAGTGCACCCAAACCAAAAGGGGAGGGGCATGTGTTGGTTTTACAGAACCCCGATTGAACACACAGAAGGGAATAGCAATATGCTTATCTCTTCGTCACTACCTCACCTCAGACACTCCACTTAGTTATATACTACGTTGTGGGCACCACATGTTGCAAAGATCATCGATGTCTGGTGTCCTGGATTCGGCTATTTGCAGCGGAGCTGGTTTTTTCGTGAAGCCCGGCGCCATCGGATCATAGTCCTATGGCAAATGCAAACTGTTTGCGTCGCTGGTCTTGACATCATTTCCGCTTTGTGTGATATGCTTTACACGCACCGCCAAAACTATTTGTAATCACATGGGACTGAAGGTACTGCAAGCAACCAAGTGCCAAAAAGGATAGGGTTCGGGCATTCCCTTGACATCCCAACTCGGATTGCCGTAAAGTCATTTTGGATTGCCGTAAGAACAAAATGGATTTGGGCCATGGCTGAGCTAAGAGAGATCTAAGACCTCTGTTGCTTGCTCGACCTCTGCACTTTCAACATTTGCATTTCGCTCTTTCTCTCGATGGAAGTGTGCCCTCGCCCCACCCCAGCCCACCCCAACCCCGCCGAGAGGTGGCGGCAGCGGCCCTCGACATTTGGCGCGCCGCGGATTTCGAGTGCCTCAGCGCACTGGCGTGGTCCCCGGATGTGGGAAAACCGCCGCCAAGGCACAATGAGCTCAGGGAATGAATTGCAGACTCGCAGACTCGTTGTTCGCAAATAGAAAAGCATTCGGAGTCATAGTTTCAGTGGCCATGCTTTGCAGTCTGGCAAAGCCCCAGGCGATTTGGACATCGCTGTACTCGGCACAACCTGTACTCGGTTTTCAGTCCTGTGGCCATGCACTTAGGATTCAGCCAAAGTGCTGACGCTCAACTCGAAAGAGAAGGAGCAGCGGGCGGCTCTGGTCCCGGGTCCCGGGAATTCGCCCCGTTGCTTTGTGCTTTTCTCATGGAAGGTTGCTGAAGACTGAGGGCTGTAGCTCGAGAGGAAACGGCATGGAGGTTGAAAGATGAAAGCACTTATGTAGCTGTGCATCGGCCAACTCTGAAAGCTTTGTGCCTCCCCTTTTGGGCCCCTGTTTGGCGTTTTTTTTTGTTTTTTAGTGGGAACAGCCCACTTTGCACTGGTCAATTTTCAGCTGGGCAGCTTTTTTTGGGGGTGGGGGGGATGAAGGCCCACATCTTTGTGGCGACATGTTTACATGTTGCACAGGCAATTGCTACAACCGTGTAGGCTTGCGTAGGATTCGGTTTGATAGGTTGAGGCGCGTGCTTTCAAGGAGGCGTGAGTGATGGGAACGGCTTGCGAAGCCTTGCATGTCCAACAAATACGCCGTTTCCCAAGTTCAAAAAGGTCAGACAGATTTCGCGTAGCCGCGCAAACATGACGTCTAAGATCCAACCGCGGCCTTCCGGACTCGTCATTCCTTTGGCCCGCTTCTGGAGCTGGAGGAGCTACGATTTCCGAGTTGCAGCCAAAGTGCACTTCGTGTATCAACAAGTTGTGATTTCCCAGCTGCTTCAAAATGCGCGCGTACTACGCTTGTACAGCTGCCATTTTTCGCCCCAAGTGTGTTGAGTCGCGTTGTCGCATAGGCGCGTGCACAGCCGTCTAGTCAACTTGATCTCGCATAGGCGTTGGTCCCTGTTGGCCAAGGCATGGCGTAAGGAAGTAAAACATGCCACACAACCAAAAACACAGTGCCCAGCTGTGAAAACGAGGCAGTCACCAGCGCCAGGACAGAATCAATGCCCGGTGTGCCGTGTTTGCCGGCGGGGCTGCGCGTACCTTCGGCATCGCTGCAGCCAAGGAGCGCCTTTTTCGGCACAATGCGAATGGAAGCGGGCATTTGGCTCTCAAATCGGTACGACTTGCTTGTCCCATGTTGCCTGGGTTCGTTTCGGCGACAACCAGGTTCAACGTGCACAAAGGGGCCAAAGTTAATGTTGCCACCGATTTTTCTGAAAAGTTGACATTGCCTCTTATGATTTTCGTTCAAGACACAGCGGAACAACTGGAGGAACGCGATTTTGAATCGCAACTGGATCGACGTTCAGGCATACAATTACGTGGTTTGAACTTGGGTTGGCACTGTTGTTAGCAGTGATGGTAACCAATGGCGAGTTCGGCGAAGGCATTGTTCGTTCTGTTTGTGTGCTTGTGTGTTTGTGTGTTTGTGTGTTTGTGTGTTTGTGTGTTTGTGTGTTTGTGTGTTTGTGTGTTTGTGTGTTTGTGTGTTTGTGTGTTTGTGTGTTTGTGTGTTTGTGTGTTTGTGTGTTTGTGTGTTTGTGTGTGAGTGCGCCCGCGCGTGTGCACGCAAGTTGTTTACCAGTGGATTGTTTGGCGGCTGAGATGGGAGACGGAATCTGTGTTTGCAAGGCTAAGACTAGACAAAACCGCATGGCAGCGAACAGCTCAAACACATCACATTGAATTTGAAAGTCCGTGAGAGCTGACACATTGTTTTTCCTGACCAAGTGGATACACATGGTTCTATCAGTCGTATCATCACCGGGCGATTCCTCAACCAAACATATTATACTATTTTCGTCTGCAACTTGGTGTGGAACTTTGACCTTGAACTATTTCAGAAGTTCACTTTCCTGGCAACATGTTGCCCCTTGCTCAAGGGCCAATCATGCATGATCCTGCATTGCGCGTTGTGCTGCTTCCTTGAATGGTCAAATCCGATGGATCTGCAGACTGCTTTCCCAGTCCCTTTGAAGGGAGAGTCCGTGGCAACTGACCGGCCAAAGGGTTTGCGCCTGCATCGTGCTTCGGCGGTGGATGCTTTAACGCTAGTGAATTGAACATGTTTCGAAATGATGACCCAAACCTGATTCTCACCCTAGTGCCACACGTAGAGCCTTTGGCTGCCTGCAAAGTGACATTTCAATGGGCTGCTGGTCATGAATCAGCCGCACAAAAATCGAGTATGCCCCGCCTGAACAAAAACAAGCAACTAACAAGCTATCTGAGTTTAATATTGCTTATTCCGAAGTCCGCTTTGGAGCTCCGACATCTGGAGTTCTGTTGCCTTTCCCCTTCTGAAGCATAATATAGCCGCTAATCAATGGCCATGGTACAGGGACACCCGATACGTCAACCAGGAGCTAAGGGGCTATACTGACTGATGAACCGGTCTTCTAGCTACGTAATTAGCAGGGAGCTCGTGCCGAAATCATGAGCAGGCACTTGCCATTTCCGCAGTCGTATGGCAGGCGAGCGAGGCTTCTAAGCACTGCGCCCTTGCCAAGGCTGGGTTGGAATTCAACCAGCAGCCAGACCACGGAGCGCTGGATGAGACCCCGCGCAACTCATCCAGCTGTATGCTTTAAACAAAAAGCAATGTTGAACCCTGCGAGACGCGCTGTGGCTATTTTGTGCCACAGGAATGCTGATGTCAACCCGCACAGAAGTCGTCATGTTCCACAGAGCCGAACTGCAGGGCACGAACGGCTAGGGAACCTTTCTGGAATCAACCATGAGTCGGCACATGTCCAATATATATATATACATTATATATATATATATATTTGCTTTTTGGCTGCTTACCGGCAATAGGAGCCTTCCCGCCACCAATGGACCTCTTTTGGCCTCAAGAAACATGAGTCAAGGGATCAGAGGCTTCGGGAAGATTGTTCCTTCCATCTTGCAGATGTATATCAGCGCGTGCATAGAATTAGGGGCAGCTGGATGAGCTAATGCTTGTTAGGGTGCACCAAAAGAAGAAGGCAGTCTTTGGAGCTTTGCTCCTCTTTGTTTTTGCCAGCTGATTGGACATTTCCCTGGAGTTCGGGAATGGTCCAAGGCGCCTGCTGCCCCGCTGTGGATGAGCAAGCAGTGCATGGTTTGCCCTGTTATAGGGAGTCAATAGAAGTAGAACAGGGATCACCGATTGTAGGAGACGCCAGTTTGGCAACGCAGCGAGGCGAACAAGCAAGCCACAGACGGCATGCAGACAGGTAGACCTTCACAATAGAAACAAGGGAGCACGCAAGCCAAGAAAACACACAAGCAACAAGCAAGCAAGCAGGGAAGCAAGCAAGCATTCAACCATTCAAGCATTGAAGCAAGCATTCAAGCAAGAATTCAATCTAGCAAAGAAGAAAGCAATCAAACAAGCAGGCAAGCAAGCAAACAATCCTTTGTGCTGCAGAAGCTACGTTGTGTCTTGCACGCAGGCTCTTTCCAGCAACCGTTCGCTTGCGTTCAGACATGACTGCAGTTGGCGTAGTCGAAATTTGACACAGGCTCTTGTGAACAAACGCTTGTACGTGCTGCCTGTTTGGCAAACGAGTTGGCGACTTGCTTCAATGATCAGCATGGCAGTGCTACTTACATCCCCGACCAAGAGACAAGTGTTCTACATTGACGAGGTAGGACTCGACCTCGTTTTGCTCGCAGAGCAACACGTGCTTCCATAGCACAAGTAGGACGTGTTGCTTCTTGGGTATTTTGAGGAGCTTCCTAGCCATCCGCTGGGCAGCCTGAAGATGCCTGAAGCGTTTCAAAGCCCTTTTTGGTTGGTGTTGAACGACTAAAGAGAACCAAAAGGAGCCACCATTTTAGGGGACCGATTCCTGTTTTACGAAGCACCACACGAATATCACTGCGCAGGGCGCATCATGCAGTCGTGCAGCCTCCTTCGCGGCTGCTGCGCTGTCTGGTGCAGCAGAGGTGCGCGCATGCGCGTCTGTTGGGCCCTGATGTTTTAGGAGCCACCGTCATATGGCCAAATCTTGAACTGTCTACGCACTCGTGGTCTAGAAGTGACTGGTGCAGGAGGCAGAGTAAGACCAGATTGTGGCTTGTGCTTGCGACCCGGATGTTAACATCCATCATCTCAGCGTAGAACTTGGTATAAATTGAATCATGCTGCGCAGTTTTGCAAGCTGGGCAGAACCAGTATCACTGGCGATGCACATGATATAGTGATACTGGCTGATGGTTGTCCTTTCAGAAACATGCACCCGCATCACGCAATAATATAGATATGCAAGAGTTCGTGTGGCTTTCTTAGTGCTCGTGTGAGGAAGTTCGATGTTTGATTCCCAATTCTGGAACTGACCTTTGTGTGGAGGCCAGTATCTATAGAACAACAGGCACTGAACTACCACAGCCAGACTGCAAACACCGCTCCATTAGTCAAATGGTTCGCACTGGAATCTTGCATTTTCTTGGTAACCATGGTGTAAAAACTGAGATCTCTGCAATCGCAAAAAGCCTTCCTGCAGCCCACGATGTGCATTGCATCATGTATCAGGACTTGCCGGCGATCTTTCCCTTGGGCCAAGGATGGTAATTTCCGAGCAGATGTGAATGTGTTCATGGGCTCGGTTTGAAGTTAGCCACTTCAATGCCAGCTTTCCGCCCATGCAAAAGCACCTATCCAGATGATCTCTATACTTAGGTGGTACAAACACGGCTTCAAAGTTGAAGGTTCAATCGTTCAACACGTAGGCCATGTGTATCCTCATCCCCGTCAGGACTATTGTGCTTTGCCGGGCTTTTGTGAACAAAGCAGGCCACAAGAAAACTGCTTCCCACCTTAACATGCCCCCCCCCAAAAAAAAAAGAAAGAAAGAAAGAAAGAAAAAAACAAGCAAACAAACAAACAAACAAACAAACAAACAGAACACATGTGAGGAGTTCACCCTTTCAGGGGACCCCCCTTCGCACGGGTCCGGCGTCCATTTCAATTTGTTGAGCGCCCACTCGAGGGCATGGCCTTCATGCGCCTGGAGTGCGGTGGGCCCCTGAAGTGCTGCACGCAGCTTCCAGGATCGGAGAGAGAGCGAGACATAGCATCGGGTTGGTCGAAGGGAGGGTGGCCTTGGGGCGAAAACCGAAGGAACCATAGGTGTCAACTTGTTGGTTGTTTTGCTCGAAAAAAGGATGGCGATCCCTGGTTTACCTTGTGGTGCAAGATCATCTACCAGGGAAACCCATCTATTTCCCCTAAAAGGACGCCTATGGAACCCGGCCACAACAAAGCGCTTTTTTTGAGACACAGCCAATACCCGGCCAAGTACTTGTACCAACTCTTTCCAATCATGAGAGTGGACCTTTGGACAGTAGCTTTCTAAACCCTCCGACATCGTCCGCCTTTTTCAAAAGGGTTTTTTGGGGTCCCTAGTTAAGGCACACCCACGGAGCTTCCCAAGCACTCCCAACTACTCCCTGGGCGGGCCACTTGGGTGTCCCTCTCTAGCAGGGTGCATGAGCGTTTGGGCAGCAACACACGGCTGTGCGTGTGTGCTTTTGGGAGGGATTTGTTTTTGCCAGACTCGTGGTCTTTTTTTGTGGTTTGCCCTACACAAAATAGGGTTCCCTAGCGAAAACAGAGACCCACATACAACTTCGCACGAATGCCTCGGAGCCAGTGCCACGTTTTGATCTTTCGAGCGAAGCGACGGGATCCGAGTTTTTGGTTTTCTCCCGGTCCGTGCCTTGGCTCCAACAGCTTTTCCTTTTCCTTTGGTGCGTTAGGCAAGGAATGAGAAGTGCAATGAACCGTTTCAGGATTTCCTCACAGGATGTCCTTGTAGGACACCTTTGGGGATGGTTTATAGGGTAATTCCCTCATTTTCTGCTGAGCACCAGCAAGTGTTTTTTTGTTCCTGTGCTTTGGGTAATTGCGGCTTACCTGCACGCATTGTCTCATCAGCAAACATTGCTGCCAAGTGACAGGCGCACATGACTTGCTTGAGCATGTACACGCCGATGAAACGCCAGAGATACGAGCGCAGGCATGGTGAATAGTGTTTCTTGCGCCTGACCGCCTCGACTAACATGATGGTATGGTTGGACCACTCGGCCAGGCAACCCGCCAAAGTTTGAGTGCGATTGTCCGACCCTCGGCAATCGACAAGCGGATTGCACAGGCCGAATGCGACCAAGTTTGGATGAAAGGTTTATGGGTTGCCTGCTGAGGGACTATGTCCTTGGCTTTATGAGAACATCAGGCAGCATCTTTCAGCGCACGCCGCGATTCCGATCGGCAACCGTGTGTGGGTGTGTGTGTGTGTGTGGGTGTGTGTGTGTGGGTGTGTGCGTGTGTGCGTGCTTGCGTGCGTGCGTGCGTGCGTGCGTGCGTGCGTGCGTGCGTGCGTGCGCTTTACTTCCAAAAACTGAGTACGTAGTAGTTCAGCTACTGAAACACAGGTCAGGGTCACTGGACAGTGGAACAAGCAACCACCTGACGGCAGACCGTGTCATGTTGCTGTGATCAATATGTTCAGGTTGAGCTTGGTTTCGCTATGCTTTGGAGAGAAGCTCCATGTGATCGCTAAGTCGGAATTCCCACTTGGATTGTCTCATAGCAGTGCCGTGTAAACGTGTTGTGTAAACGTTATGTAAACGCCACGGAACGTTACGTATGCAAGTCGTATGTGATCTACAGCTATTTGTCCAGTTAAATAATACCCTTTACAGCCCCTGTTCTGTTTGCCAGTTAGATGTTTGTCACGGGGAAGTTTGACATGGCCATAATGCTGCGCGTGCGTTTTGGTAATTAGCTTTGGACAACTCGGTGTTGTTGCATACTTGCAGACTATCAATCTCCAAAGGGGTTAACAGCCAGAATGTCAAGCTCAGTGCAGAAGGACAAAATAATGTAAATCAGTTTGTATGAAGTGACTCTTGTGATGCTGGTGTTTGCAAGGGGCTTCAGCCCGGGAGCCCCAGAAGGATCAGATGCTTGAGGTCAAGGTGTCTTCCCTGCCCCACCCACCTGCAAAGGCGCCCATGCCGCTTTGTTCCACACACACTACACACGCTCTGGGCATGAGCCCAAGTTAATTGTGATTTATGTGCAGAACCTCTTTCTCATAAGATGTCCATACTGTGGATGGAGTAAATCCTGCACCATCTAAGAAGCCCTGGAATGATGATCCCCCTGGAACTACCAACAAAAAGTTGATTCAACCATGGATTGAAAGTGGTGCGACACGGATTCCGTCCAAAAGTCTCCTGCGCGGCGCATCGGACGAACCGAGGCACTACGCAGAGTATCCTGGAGCTCAAAGAGGCGAAGTGGCTCGCGCAGCTGAGCTTTCGACTCCAGCCGCTTCTTGGGGCGCGAAGTCGAAATTAGGTGCCCAGAATGGAGCCCTGGCAAAGAGGACCAAGGACTAAAACCTGGGGGTCCATATCCTGGTGGTTTAAGTTTGACCCATACCTATATTTACAGGCGCAACTGGATTTTGTCCTTTTTGGGTGCCACTGGATTTTGTCCTCGTCCTCTTGTTTTGGAGGAAAAATGAGACATGTTTGATTGAGGTGAGACTCTTAGATTGCAGGCTCTCTTTACCATGGTGAACATGTCTACTGGGTCCCACCTGTAGTTCGAAAAGTATCCAACCATCTTTCATGACATCTGGGCCAAGAAGAGATCAACCCAATGATTGGACATGTAACGCAAGCACCGTCGCAGCAGGGGCGGAAGTCAATCATGGAGTATTGTTACTCGACTCATGCCAGAGGACAGAAGCAGCACTCTTAAAAGGTTTGCTTGACAACGGCAGCTGCATAAGGAGCGACTGTTTTATGAGCATCCTAACAGCCCAAGAGCCTAGACAGGCTTTCACTTTTTTACACGCACAAATTTGCTTAGCCCCTGAGCTCAACGCTTCTGTGGAGAAGCAAGTGGTTTGCTTTGGACACCCACAACATATTTAGCTCGTTCCTTTGGATTGATTTATGGCATTATGCCCCAGCGGCTGAGTCTCCACTGCTGGCACAACAAAGTCTCGTCAGTGTAGCAGGTGGCTAGACAATTATTTCCCGTGATTCGTGACAGGAAGAACATCCATGATTTGTGGGCGACGCAACGATCCTGGCGTGCTCAAGGCATAGCGTGGCATGCCGTGGCAACTTGCGTATGAAGGAAAGAGCCACATCATGTGCCATATATTTTTTGATGGTCACAGGCTTTCCGCAAACCCCATGTGTTGCGCCATGCGCCAATTTTCTTCATGGATTCGGTTCGGGCGCAACTAGTCAGAGTAGCATTGCCAGGCTGTAGCTCCAAGTGGAATCCATGTGCAGTTGGGATATGTTAACCGTGCCCGGCAGGAAAACAAAGTTCGTTCGTCGCGCTGCGCAAGGCTGGAGTGAAGTTAGATCTGCAGATCTGTGCATGTGCGATCGCCAAATTAAATGTAGAAATGTGGTGGCTGTAAAGGCTTGGATTTGTGCTGACCTTTGGCAAGAACATTTGGATGTTTTGCATCTCTAGCGATTGGTTCGAAGCGTCATAGCTTTCATTTTGAAGGGGAATGTTTGGGCATGTTGACTGAATAAGCGACTCAACGCCTTTCAGAGCCTTTGTTTTATATACGCATTGCCACAATGACTTCTTTATTATTGTTCCTT